CTCTGCGTATGTTTGCCGATGGCATACATTTATTTTTCAAAAATATAACACCTTGCAGATGAGATTAGATAGATGTCCTATCTTGCTGGGACCATAAGGTACTTTTCACTCGTTATAGGTGCCTAAATTGCCAATAAAGGTTCTTTATTGTACCAGTGGATTTTCGTCATTATGTGTATGTGCGTGTGTGCGTGAGTGTGTGTGTGTTATAAGAAATTTTCTTTAAAAATATTTAATACGAGAAGACGATGAGGATAATGATGATGAAGATGAAGAAGAAGAAGATAATGATGATGGTGATGGTGGTGATGATGATAAAGAGGATGAAGAGGATAATGGTGATGATGATGTTTTGCTGTTTCTACTTTTTTATTGTTATTATTTTTTTGTTTTTTCTTTGTTTTTTTGGCTTTCATTTTCTGAAGTTAAAATCGTTCATAAAATTTGTAAACAGCAGGCATTCATTCCTTTGTCTGCCTGTCTGTCTGTCTACCTGTCTGTCTGTTTGACTGTCTGTGTTTGTTTGTCTGTATGTATGCACCATGTATATGTGTGTGTGTGTGTGTGCGTGCGTGTGGGTGAGTGTTGTGTATGTATGTTTCGTGCATATAAAAAATGAAAAGTTAATCTTAACACCATAATTTTAAATTGTTAGACCAAATCATGAATAAAAAATTATTAAATGTTGTTTAAAATATTATAATTGTTATTATTATTATTTATAAAATATAAATAATGCGTTATATTACAATTTCCTTGAAAAGCTGACCCACGCTGGCTGGCAGGCTGCGGTAGTGATGGGTGAAAAAACATTTTTTTTTTTAGTGAGAAATTCTTCTTAGGAAACAAATAAGAAAATAAATTTGATGAAAAAATTAATTTATTGGAAAATTTATGGAATTGAATTTTTTCGATGGAGAAAAGGAATGAATGAGCGAGTGAGTGAGTGAGCGAGTGAGTGAGTGAGTAAGTGAGTGAGTGAGTGAGTAAGTGAGTGAGCGAGTTGAAAAATGAATGAATCAATAGATGAATAGATGATGTATCGTGATAGATAGAAGGATATATAATTGAAAAATGGTTGGAAAAAAAAAGGGTGAATTGATGAAATGAATGAATGACAAGTGAATGAATGAAGCATTAAAATTAATTTTACGTAAAGGCGAATGAATTGAAGGAAGAAAATAAGAACGAATGAGTAAAACAATGATAGAAGGAAGGATAAAAGCTGGAAAAAACTTGAACAGAAGAAATTATTGACATGAATACAATGACTACAAGTTGAAGACAAGCAGAATCAAAGATAGGCGAAGGAATGTTTTCAAGGGAGTGTATTGACTGTGAAAAGAATCATAAAATGAAACCAACATATGAAAAAATATTAAGAAAAAACAGTTTTTAGAGAAAAAACAACAACAATAGACCAAAAAAACAATGAATTATCACAAAAAATTCTCTTTACAAAAACAGACTTTGTTTTTTTTCAAACATTATTCGTGTGAAAATTATTAAATCTTGAAAAAATTAGATTTCGTCGTAAGAAAAATGTAATTGTTATCTGAAATGGTGTGAGTGTGTGTGTGTGTGTGTGTGTGTGTGTGCGTGCGTGCGTGTGATGTGTACGATGCTACTCTGCGTTTCAATTTTAAACGACAAAGATGAAAATTGAAAAATTGCTCTTTTTTTGCTGAGGAAAATAATACCGAAAGAAAGAGGGAATGTAGAAAAGAAAATGAAGAAAGTTAGAGTTTGGGAAGGAAAGAGATTGAGAAAAAATGAAAGAGATTGAGAGAAAGAGAAGAACGAAAAGTATCAGAGAGGTATTGAAAAAGATATTGAGAGAGAGAGAGAGAGAGAGAGAGAGAAAATAGAAAGAAAGAGAGAGAATGTATTATTTAGACGGCTAGATAGAAGAAGAAAGCAGATAAAACTAGAAAGATTTTGAGAAATAGAGAGAGAGAGAGAGATAAAGAGAGAAAAGCTCTCCAATAAATAAATAAATAAATGTTGTAAAACTTCATGTCAATGTTAATCAAATGTATCGCGGACAAGGGTGAAATAAAAAGAAATTTTGCTAAACACAATATGAAAAAACTGCCCAGCGATCTAATTCAGCATTAATAAAATCAAAAAATAACTAAAAATAATCAAAAATAACACAAAATAACACAAAAATAACACTGAACAACGAGAAACGTGCTCAAAACTTCAAAATTAAAAAAAAAGACCAACATCTTCAATTTTTATGACACGAACCTCAAAATTTTTATAAATTAAATATTTTTTTATCTGGAAGCAAGAATTATCTAGGATTTTTTTTGTATTTCCAAGTTACCAGCAACAGCAGCAGCAATAACAACAACAACCTCATTATCATCTTCTTCATTTCTCCAATCTTCATCATCATCTCTACAATCATCAACATCTCTACAATCATCAACATCTCTACAATCATCCTCATCTCTACAACCATCATCATCTCTACAATCCTCATCATCTTTTCAATCATCATCATCTCTACAATCATCATCATCACTCCAATCACCATCAAGAATGCCAAAATCACCACCGTCGTAGGTTAATAATAACGTTGATTATTCTCAGTGCAAAAGACTCCATCTTATGTTGCAACATCAAGCCTCCGACGCTTAAATTCAATTCACTCCACTTCTACTTCACTTCAATTTTTTCTTTTTTCACTCTTTTTCTTTCATTCTTACTCTCTCATGCCATATTTTTCTCTTTTTTCTTCTCTCTCTCTCTCTCTCTCTCTCTCTCTCTCTCCCTTTTCCACCTATAAAAAAAGACCTTTTACTTTTCGTGTGCTTATTTTAAGTAATAAGTTTGTATGGAAAGAATTTAATTTAGGACAATGATTATCATCATCGTCGTCATCGTCAACATCGTCGTCATCATAATCTTCTTCATCATCATCGACTACATCATCGTCATCATAATCTTCTTCATCATCATCGACTAGACATCATCGTCATCATCATTCGCTATCAAAAGATTAATAATAGCATTCTATACGTCTCGAGCAGAGAGAAATAAGTCTCGAAGTTTCAAATCCCCAATGGGCAAGTGCGATACGTTAATTGAATTTAAATCAAAAGATTTTTTAATCTAAAAAAAATTTCAAATTAGACAAATATTCATCAATCAATTAATAAATGAATTAATCAACCAGTCAATCCATCGTTAATTCAACCAACCAAGCAAGAAAGCAATCGATCAACCAATCAATCAATGAATCAATCCTGCCTTACTCAACCAACCAATCATATCTGAATGATTAAATGCATGCCTTTTGATGGCAATTATCAACTCGAAAACATCTCTTGCATGTACATGTACTATAAATTGAAAGAGAGAAAGAGAGAGAGAGAGAGGGAGGGAGGGAGGGAGAAACTTAAAAAAAAAGAGAAAAGTGAATTATAAAGAGAGAATGAGAAAAATTAAAGTGGAGAAATATAAGTATATGTCGTTATTTCATTCAACCAGGCGTTTTAAAGGAAAAAAAATGTGGCACTTCCAGTAAGATAATGGCCACTTTTGTTCATAGCTTTTTCAGCTTTCGCTTGAAGAAAGACTATTTTTGGTTTTGAATTATTTAATTAAGAGCGAGATACGAATATAGCTGTATAATAATAAATATATTTTGTTTTTATTCATATTTTTTATTTTGGAAACTTTTTTGGCAAAAAAATATAACCGAAAAATGATGATAGAGAAATCAATGAAGATGAGTAGTGATTCCTATTCCGCAGTTTAAAGTCCAATCCAAATAGGAACGAAGATATATGAGAGTTGACAGAAACAACAAGTTGAAAAGAGAAAGAAAGAGAGAGAGAGAGAGAGAGAAAGCGAGAGAAAAAGAAAAAAAGAGCAGAAGAAAAAACGAAAGAGAAAGACAGAGACATCGAAGACAGAGAGCCAGACGGATAGAAAAAAAATTTTATAAATACAAATGAATGAGAGACACAGAAAAGATAGAAAGGAAATAGAGAAGGGAGAAGGGGGAGAGAGAAAGAGAAAAAGAGATAACAAGAAAGATAAAGAGAGAATAATAGACGAACGGAAAAACGCATAATTAAACAACACAAGATGTACAGATAGATAGAAAGGTTAATAACCAAGCAAAAAATTCGAAAAAAGAGCTAGAAAAAAAAAACATGAGATGAGAGAAAAATCGAGAGAAAAAGGAGTGAGAGAGAGAGAGAGGGAGAGAGAAAGAAGATAGAGGCAGAGTCATAAATCTAAATCAGTCCTTTGAATTTTAAACGTTTGTTTCACCTTTGTTGGGGGGAATTAAGTTTCCTGTCAGCCGGACAAAATGCCTCATGATACTTCCTGTTTTGCTTTTCTACATTTGAAAAACTTCTACACTCGCTCCCTTCTCTCCCAGTGACATTTTTAATTCAATTTGTATTTTATTTTCGTTCTTTAATTAAATTTTTGTAAGAAAAACAAAAAAATGAGTTGACGTTGATTTATTTGTTGGACGTGAATGCATGAGTAGCAACAGGACCGTTAACGACGAAAAAATTATATGATAAATTATGAATGATTCACGACAATTAGAACAAGATAATGTCTACTTTGAGTTAGAAAGAAAAAAATATGAGAGAGAGAGACAAAGAGAGAAAGAGTCAGACAGACGGATATAAATTACCAAATGTAGTGAGCAGTTATTCCAGCTAATTCAACACATTAAAAAAAACTTTTCATTCATTCAATTGTTTCCTTCTATCCATCATTCAATTATCTATTTGATTTAAATTTAAACGATCTTAATGCAAACGTTCAGGCGTATGTTTTATTACAATGTGGTTATAAACATTTAAGTTAATATAAATATATATATATATTCAAGAGCTAGAAATTTAGCTATATATATATTTTGATATATATTTATATATCAAACAGTATATATCAGTGCCAGAATAAATTATATATATATAACAAAGTGGGACGAACACCACACACACAAACAATGAAGATCAAGAGTTTTTTGTAAAAACAGAAGTGTCATTTTTGTCATCATCCATGGCCTTTAACTTTTTCTCGATCTCTCTAATCATAGCTCGTCGTTTGGCTTCGGACATTTGACTAGTGTCGATGGAGTTGCTGCTAGATGAAGCAGACTGTGAGTAGCCGGCCAGTGCGTACGTCCCTTTCCTTTGAAACTTTTTCTTTGATTGAGATTTTCTTAGGGCTGCAGCATCAGCATCTGCAGGCTTGATGACCAAATTTTGTTGAAAAAGACGTTTACCATCGAGATGTTTTATTAATTTGTCAGCATCTGAAATGCTGGGTACTGTAAGGAAACAGAAACCCATCGACTTTCCTTTTAGTGGTCCTGACCGATGGTACACAAAATCGAGTTTTTTTAAATTAATTTGATGGCTTTGTAGAAGTTTAAGGAACGTGTATTCAGTTATCTGCGGGTGTAGGTTGCCTATCCACATGCGGTAGCCAGTTTGAGGTTGCTCGTTGCCTTCAGTTACTGGCTGTTCAGCCATTGTTGTGATGGACACACACAATCAAGGTACACAGATCGAATTGGCCTATTGTATCGAAACACTAACAGCTAACACTAACTTAACTAACTGACCTACTAATTACTAGCAATACGACGTCACAAACACAAACAAAATCGAATTTGGAAATACGAAATAATACGTTAAGTAACTTGATTTACTTGATGATAAATAAAATCGAAAAATGTTCTAGAATTTAATATTTCACCGTTCTAGTTAGTTCAATTGATATTTTTCAAAAATTACTCAAAAATACAATTAATGTAAATTTTTTTTTCTTATTATAGTTTAAATTTCTACACAACCAAACGACGAAATTACTTAGTAAATGCTGTAGAATTGAAAATTTTACGAATTTAATACCTAGTTTACTTTTATTCAAAACAAGGCCCTCCATAGAAAGTATATTATTATCAATAAAAACAAAGAATCTCGCGTGAGCGATAAAATCCATTAATAAACAAGTAAAAAAACGATGTTCCTGCAAAATGTTTCAACGCTAACGTGCCGATATTTCAGGTAATTAGGAAGTAAATATCCATTAAAATTTGAAATCCGTTACAAATCACAGCTTAAATTTAGAATTTTTAAATTTTTTTGTATTTTCGGTGACAATGTTAGTCGGCAAAATTAGTCATTGAAAATTTGACATTGACAGCACGACAGCAGTGAGGCATGAAGTGCAGAAGTTGACGAGACTGAGGGTGGTTGACAACAGCCTGATAGGCAGAGCAGCTGAACTTGCGGGAAAACCAGGCAGAATCATACATGTCTACAACAAAACTGGAATAGGCAAGTTAGGAGACAAGGTAAAAAAAAGAGTAGATCTCTGATCTCTGCTATCACATCATAATGGTGGTATCACTAGTATTCTCTCTAGTCTAAGTAATCTTTTTATTTTGTTGCAGGTACTGTTAGCCATACAAGGCCAAAAGAAAAGAGGATATTTAGTGGGACTAAAACAGAATCAGGATAGAATGGTCCCAAAATATGATTCCAATAATGTTGTGCTCGTCGAAGACAATGGCAATCCCACAGGGACAAGGATAAGGGTGCCCATTCCATCTTGTCTTAGGGGTAAAAAGGGTGACATTTCAAAAATATTGGCCTGCGCTACTAAATTTATTTGATAATTACCCAAACGTTTTTTAATTTTTTTCTATTACAAGTCGTTGTTTTGTCACTGTTTCAGATTAATAAACAATAAATACAATTGTTGCAAAATAATTTATATAAAATTGAGATAAAAAAATAAAGTTCATTTCTTTTTGTAACTTTTATCAACAAATTTGAAGGTATCTTTAGCAAATATGTAACCAATACCAGATGTAATTGTGGTGAATGCTGTTAAGTACCTTTAGAAATAAAATAATAATTTTATTATTAAAATTGATTAAATGCCTTTAAATATTAGTCTTACTATTAAATAAACATTTAATAATTTTCTAAATATAAAGAAAAGTTAGACAAGGTACTCTAAAACTAACCACAAGTAGTGCATATAGGGATGATCTGTAAAGTTAAAAACAGGTGAGGCTAGTGTTGCAGCTACCAAAGTCAACTGAACAGCTGTGTTGAACTGCACATTTTCAAGATGTATGTGATAGTCATTTTAGGTGAAAGCTTCATCAAATAAGATAAATTTTGTGTGCGTGCGTGTGTGTGTGTTTATGAGTGTAAGTGTGATTGCATACGTACCTTGCTAAGAGTTGTTGGTTGCAATTTCACTGATCTATTTGTAGGATCAAAATATTCTTTCAGTGTTCTCTATGTTAAAAAAATTGAATAAACATACCAGTAAAATCACAATTTTTTTTACATTTTAAACAAATTATAACAAATTTCTAAGTTGAAAGAAAAAATTTAGAAGGAATAATTAATCATTTGGCTAACTGGTTTTGGATTGAGTGTTATGTATCTGATGTATACACCTGATGCAGTCAGTAATGTGTCTCTTGTGATGACCAAGAGAGCTAAATAAGCTGTTGCAAAATTTTTTAATAAATTTTTAAGATAAAAATAAATAACTGTATAGTTAGACAAAAAGGTAACTAATAGCATTGATAGATCTTATGTAAATTATTTTTAATGATGTTCTCAGTGTTAATTTTGACATGTACAATCTCACCTGGGATTAGATCTACATAGGATAGCGACAGAAATAGCGTGCTCACTAATAACTTGTCTGCTAGTGGGTCGAGAAAACTGCCTAAATCTGAAGTTTGGCTCTGAAATGACCTAGCTATCAATCCATCCAACTGAAAATTAAAATGGTTTTTCTTTTAATTGCATGTTTTAGACTGGGAGAAGTTAAAAATTATTAACTAAAAATAATTAAATTGGCTAACTACCAGGTCTGTGAACCCAGCAAATATAAAAATGGACAGTGCAGCGTTATATGAACCCTGCAAGACTAAATAACAGAGGAATGGGGTTAGTATAATTCGTACACTCGTTAGGATGTTAGGCACTGTCAGGACTCGGTACTGTACCTGTTTTGTAAAGTTTAATTTTAGTTGGGGAGGACTAGGAAGTAGGATAAAGTGAAATTCAACAAATTATTTAAAAATTAAAAAAACATACTAGCTTCTGGAATAAGTTATTTTTTCCGACCGTTTCATTACTTTGACCTTTAATTTTCTCTGATTCAGCCTCTTTGTTGGGGGCTACACTGCATTTCTTCTTGGGCTTCAGTGATTCGTTGGACAGGTATCGCACATGTGATCGATGTGAAGTAACTAAACAGCTGAGAAAACAATTCTTAGACAAAATGTTACTCCTAGCTTTCTTAACAGCAAATGTTGTTAGCTTTCTCAGGTTTAAATTAGAAACTGTTGACGGAACGGAAACACACACGCAGGGATTGACTTTCAGATGGTTTGCATGTTGAAAATTAGAACAAGAAGAGCATACTTTAGTCTCGTGAAAAATGTTTAAGGACAGTTTGACAACATTTAATTTTTTAAATAAATTATTATTTAAGCTAAAATATTTATTCATCATTGCCTAAAAAATCAGCATATTTACGCTCGAATTTGCTGATTGTGATTGCAAAATCTTGTATTAAAATTTAAAAGTAGACTTAAATGTTATATTTTTAAAAGTGATCTATATAGCTGGCTCACATAAGAACTATTTGCACAATACAATTTATGGCCCTTTGTACGATTAAGTCCATATAAATTCAGTTACCATTGAGCCTTGAAAATAGAATGCATCTACATATCGTATTTGTAAAAATGTTAACGATCGTTTATGCAGCTAAACACATATTTTTATTAATTACAATGCAAAGTCCTCGAGAAATAGATTCATTAACAATCCAAATGTTATTAATAATCAAATGTTTTATTTCTATTTGAAATTAAATGTTTAAATAAAATGTATGCAGATATATTATTCAAGTAGTTTTTATACTAAATCCAACTCGCAAAGAGCACACATGTTGATTCCACAAATTGGATCATAAAATGGTTTGGGAGCCTGTTTTTTCGCACCACCTTTCTTGCTATCAACGCTGGAAGCAGACCTCTTACTTCTTCCTCTTTTGTTGGCCTTATCATCTTGAGCAGGTCGGCCTTTATCATTTTTGCCGTTATCCTTCTTATCATCATTTTTACCGCTATCTTTTTTATCATTGTTTTGTCCTTTCGTATCAAACATTTGTACGCTGTGACCCATGTCTTGAATCTGTGTCCTTTGACCAGCTTCTTGAATGTTGAGGCTCTTTTGTTGATTTTTGTCATTTCTGCCATTATCTCTGTCGTCGTTGTTTTGTCCAATCTGGGCATTTCCAACTTGTTTTTTAATATTTTTGTCTTGATCATTTTTTTGAACAATCTGTTCCATTTGTTTCGACATCATATTTATCCCATCTTCAATATGACCTTTCTTATCTTTACTCTGACTACTTTTACCAAATGCATATACCATTCCACTCTGGTCTTGACTCCCACTCTTTCCACCATGAACATTTTTGTCTTTGTTCTGACCGTTTCTACCAATCTCCATTCCCATACCGAATCCTACTTTATCATGACTTCCGCCATGAACATTCTTGTCTCCGCTACCGCTACTTTTACCAACTCTCACTTCCATTCCCATACCGAATCCAAATTTATCATGACTTCCGCCATGAACTTTCTTGTCTCCGCTACCGCTACTTTTACCAACTCCTGCTCCCATTCCCATACCGAATCCTACTTTATCATGACTTCCGCCATGAACATTCTTGTCTCCGCTACTGCTACTTTTACCAACTTTCACTTCCATTCCCATACCGAATCCAAATTTATCATGACTTCCGCCATGAACTTTCTTGTCTCCGCTACCGCTACTTTTACCAACTCCTGCTCCCATTCCCATACCGAATCCTACTTTATCATGACTTCCGCCATGAACATTCTTGTCTCCGCTACGGCTATTTTTACCAACTATCGCTCCCATTCCCATACCGAAACCAACTTTATCATGACTTCCGCCATGAACTTTCTTGTCTCCGTTACGACTACTCTCATCACTCTTAACGTGTATATTAACATCGCCGCTAAGCTCCTTCCTGACAAATCCAGTACCGTCAAATACGAAACTTTCTTTATCATCAGATGCGACGCTGTATTTGTTATAACCTCCACCAATCAGCATATCAAGATCGTGTTTTTCAAAATTTTCCTCTCCTCTTGTACTTACAGTTTTAAACTTGTTCCAGCTTTTCCTCCTGGTCTTACGTTTTGAAGTAATTTTTTCGTCGTGTTCCTGCGATTTTGTAACTTTACTGGATTGATCTTCCCTTGCGCCTGTTGAAACAGAGAAGGTACGATTTCTTCTTCTCTGCAGTGCCGCACCTTTACAGTTGGCAACTTTACATTCTCGTGTTCTAAGCCAGCAGTTATCAGTTTCCTGTAGAGTCCATTCAGTCCATGTTTTCCAATCGTTAGCTGATTCATCCGCCGACCAGGAACCTTATTCAAATTTATAATATATACTTAGTTCTATTTTCATGAATTTGGTAAATATGTTTCTTAAATCTGTTTATTGTTTATAATCGATTTAAAATTGTCATATCGTTAACTGACCTTTTGTAATGTCAATGGACCAAGAGCCTACAGTTTTCCAGACTCTTAACCGTCTCTTCTGAATCGATTGTCCTCTGCATTTTCCGTTGTTAACTTTATTTCTGCAGAATCTCTTTCTACTCCACCAGATATCGTCAGTTTTTGTCCATTCACCCCAGAGTTCCCAATCTTCAAGTTTTTCTGATTTATCGTCTGTAACAAATTTAATTTCATGTTTGTAAATTTTTTTGATCCAGTTTTTTGTTTGTAAAATTGCTGTTTATAATGGTACAGATCTAAAATATTTAATACCACTCTCGTCCAGTGACCAATCTCCTGTTAACTTCCAGTTCATATCCTTAATTAATTTTCTTTTTTGTTTTCTAGCTCCTCGGCATTTACCTAAATTTTTATTTTAAAAATATTTTTAAATTAATAGCAGTTTATATCTAATGTCACTGGAAAATTTTTATTTTATTTTACTTCATTGAAAAAACCACAAATTAGGTTTGATGAAATAAAATAAAACACGCTAACCGCTTGACTCGGCGTTTTTGCAATTCCTGGTTCTCACATCAAAACCTCTCTTATCAAATTTCCATTCAGACCACGTCTCCCAATCTTTCGAAACTTCCTCCCCTTCAAAATTAAACAAATTATTACTTTTAATGATAATAAAATAACAATAAAATAAAATAGTTTGTTTCGACGGAACTAAAAGAGTTTAAAAAACACATTAATTCAACATTTAATCAAATAAACCTTTGATAAAATGTGAATAATTTTTTGTGAATAAAATGGATTAAAAAAACCTTCTTGTGTTTCATAAATGTTCCACATGCCTTGAATCCTCTTTGTTTTTTTACATTTTCGTTGTTTGTTCTTCCCTCTGCATTGGGTATTCTTACAACTCCTGGTTCGTAGGACGCACCCATTTTGATCTGAAGACCACGTCACCCACTGTTCCCAGTCATCTGGAACTTCTAATGCACCTGCAACTAATTTCCAAAACGATAAAATATTTTAAATTTGGTAACTTGGCTTGATAATTGTAATTAATTACAAATTTTAATTAAAAATGTTGACATAAATATAAATTGCTAACTGTCATCTGTACTATCAAGAGACCAGGAAATGTCCTGTGACTTTTCAACGTTAAAATCGGAATCAAGATCGGATGATATTTCTATGTCGTATTTGGTAACTTTTCTAATTCTCCTCTGCTTCTTTTGACCTCTGCATTTGGCATCTGGACCAATATTCTTACATGTTCTTACTCTTGTGAAAGAATTTTCGTCGTCTTGTGTCCATTCACCCCATAAATTCCAATCCTCTGGAAACTCTTCTCGGCCGTTTTGGAAAATATCTGAGAAAGTTAACAATAAATATCAAATGTACGATTCATAAATGATTGTGTAAAGAAACAACATTTTAACTTATCATAGTATTATAAAATTAGTATTTACAAAACTAAAATAACTAACTATTTTCCTTATCAAGAGACCAATCGCTATTTTGGATGGTTTTTTGCCAAGTCTTCTTTCTGAAAACTCTTGTCTTTTTCCAACCTCTGACTCTCTTTGTTTGTTTACTGCTTCCTCTACACTTTGAATTGGCTGCTTTGTTTTTGCACTTCCTCGTTCTACGCCACCACCCTTCCGAACCCTTCACCCACTCCGTCCACGTTTCCCATTCTTCGGCCACTTCGAGGTTTGAGTCTTTTGGGAAAATAATGCAAATTTGTTGATTGAAGAGAATTGAAAAAAATGAAACGAAACACCGATGAAAGGAAAAACAGACCGCCAGATTCGTCGATCGACCATGATCCAATAATTTTCCACATTCTTTTTCTTCTCTTCTGAATTAGACGACCTTTACAATTTTTGTCCTTCCTTTTGCAGGTTCTTTTTCTGCACCATGTTCCGTCCATCTCCAGTGCCCACTCTGCCCACTGTTCAACATCTTCAGGAGCGTCTTCCAGATTGTCAGGAATCTCTAATATTTTGTAACAATTTCATTTTTATTTTTCATTGGAGAGCTATAGTTTTTTCAACTTATTTTTGTTGTTTTTAGTTTTCATTATTTCTATGAAATTTGCAAAATTGAAACTGCTCACCGCTTCCGTCAACAGACCAATCTTCTTTATCGGTACTCTCGTCAATGTGAGTTGTTTCGTGATCCTCATGCTCCTGGCTGTGGCTACCACTGGAGTGGCTCTTGTCGTGACTGCCATGACTTTTGCTTTCGTCGCTTTTGCTGTGTTCTTTGCTATGTTCGCCGTGTTCTTTGCTATGTTCGCCGTGTTCTTTGCTGTGTTCCTTGCTATGTTCACCGTGTTCTTCACTGTGGCTATTATCACTCTTGCTGCCGTGGCTGCGATGCTGGCTGTCTAATGACTCAGAACCCGATTCATCGGTGTGCGTTTTTGTAACAGTCCACTTTCTGATCGTCCTGGTTCTTCTGACTTTCCGCTTCTTCTGCATACTACGACCTCTACAATTTTTATTTACGTCCTTACACTTCCTCGTTCTAATCCAGACTTTCAGATTTCCATCTTTCGTCCATTCCGACCACTGCTCCCAGTCATCTGCGACTTCTGGTCCTGCGTCTGAAATGTTTTTAAATTACATTGCAAATATTTATTCACTGTTTCAAAGTTAGAAATATCTCGTAAAAGTGGAATTCAAATAGCTTATAAACCTCTGGAGCCATCGTTAGATATTTCCCAAGAGCCATCAACTCTCCACGTCTTTCTTCTCTTCTTCTGTTCACTTTTTCCAGAACACTTGCCCCCCTTCGCCTCTTTCTTACAAGTCCTCTTCCTCTTCATGCAGCCATCTCCCTGCTGCGCCCATTCACTCCAGGCCTCCCAATCCTCTGTTGCCTCTACTTCCGTGGTTATATCTAGTTTTTAAAATAGTTTTTTAAATTTTAACATTAAACTTTAATTTTTTGGTATTTTAAATTTGATAATTAAATAAAAATAAATTATTTTTTACCGCAAATTTGTTATAAACAAATTTTTCATGGTCCAAAAAATTTACCGTGGCTATCGTACGACCACGAAGTTGACTGAGATTTCTCATCATGGCTAGCTTTCCCGCCAAAGATGATATTTTTTCTCCATTTTTTTGTCTTATGCTTATGCTTCCTAGTACAAATACAAAATTTTTTTCATATTTTAATAATTAAAAACTCATTTGTTGCTAAAATGTTGGGGATAAAAGATAACCTAACGTAAAAATTTGACAGCAAAATTAAATTTATATTTCTAAGAATATAACAATGGCACCGACTTTTTACCATCTGGACCTATTTCCTCTTCTTCTTCATCTTCGTCTTCACTACTATCCAGACTTGCATCTTTTTCTTCAGGTTTCTGGCATCCGCACGGGCCTTCTATCCATTTAAAATCAGGTAGTTTGAAGAAGGTGCATTGCTCTACGCCGGCCTTTTCCTCAGGGTATGAAACTTTTATAATGAAATAAAAACAAAATTATAATAATAATTATTATAAAAATATTATTAATTATAAGAATAATATTAATTATTAAAATGTTATTAGTTATTAAAATAATAAGTTTATTTTAAATTTATCAAGAAGACCAATTAATATTGGGTTGGGAGGTTTTAAAAAGTTTTAGTAAAATGCATGATAACAGCGGTGAAAGTTAACTGTCAGAAAGTATTTTAAAGCTTAATGAATAGCTCCTTAGTAATGTAGTTTTTCAATGAAATAACTAAAAACAATTGTAATTTGAACCGTTTGTAATGAAATTATTTAGTAAAAAACTTGGAAAAAATCGGAAAAATTTGTAGAAATTGTAGTCTATACCTTCCCAGTTGGAGTATCTCATTTCTCTTGGTTCCCTGTCGTTATCAGGTAGCCAGAGAAATTTGTTGTTGGCTTGGTTGATTAATCTTTTGCCAGCAGTCCAGACGTTCAACGTCGTACCAGATGGATCGGAGCATTTCTCGCGTAGTGTACCTTTGTTTCAAGATGATTCAACATACTTTAATACTTATGAAATAAATAAAATAATCAACTGGGCATCTTCGATACGTGCAAAACTGTTTACATATCATTCTATAATTATTTTAAACATTCGGCGGGTCACAAAGACTGTACCTAATACTCACACCACAAATTTTATATGCACTTGCAGGCACCGTATCTTAAATCTTTGCATATGATAGTCTTTGAGTTTCGTATAGGCAGTATTCAAACCAGGTCATCTCGCAATAGCATTGCAAGATATGGCACTTCTACCGACTGAGCTAACATGGCGACTGTTTTTCAGAAATAATATGATATAGACTATAAAAAAAACTAAACTGTCTAAAATTTACCGTTGTCAGAATTGAAGAATTTAGCAATGGCGTTCTGCGAAGTTTGGTCATCAATTATGACCAAATGTGCGTCTGGGTTGATCCGTTTGCAAGCACTTCTCGCCCCTTCCCAGCTCAACCTCTTCTTAATTAGTTTGTAACATTTCTTTGACTCAGGATTGTACGTGTAGTCGGGCGGACAGACTATGTGAGGAATTTTTGTTCAAGAAAGTTCTAGTTTGAAGTAAGTTTAATACAACTTAGTAAAAATATTTGGGTAGTGGGAAAGACATTTTCAAACATGTCCACTGATATTATTTTGATTTCAGCCATCATTTTTTACATAACAAGCACTTTGAAAAAATAATTTTTAAAATCTCTCTTAAAAAAATTGATTTCTACCAAATGTGAACGACCAGAACATAATGGCAGCTGAAGCAACTGCAGTAGCTACAAACATCCGCTATAACAGTAATATAAACGACGTCGAAAAGACAATAATTTTATTAACTTTTAATCTTTTTCTCCTGGCTATTCGGTCCCTCGCAATTTTTTCCTCCATATACAGGAATGGGATTAGTGCATGTTCTCGTTCTAATTTGATGGGATAAGTCTTCGTCTTCCCAATCCGACCAATCCGACCAACCTCCGTCAATGGCTACATTGTTATTCAGAACATAATTTCTCCGATTTGAGTTTGAAAATGTAAAGTCACGAAAAAACGATCTATGCATTTGTTCTGTATAATTCATTTTATTATTCCGTCATTCATTCATTCATTCATTCATTCTTTTTTCCATTAATTCATTTATTTTTTATTCCATCTAACGGTTTTTTATTCTAAAGTTAAACTTTTCAATTATTCATTCACCTCCACACATATACCTCATTCGAAACTTTATCGACAAAACATTTACAGTTCTAGCCAAAAAAATTCTGCAACTAACGCAACGGCTTATCAGGGGTGAACTCCCTATAGTCAGTAGGAGGGCCCTCGCAATCTTTACCCTCATTATTCGGTACCGGGTTTGTACATGTCCTTGTCCTGGTGATTGTCTGCGGTACCGAAGTATCCGTCGGTACTGACCAGTCGGTCCATTCGGTCCAACCACCATCGATGGCTAGGTGTAATTTTATTTTAATGAATATATCATCGTGATGTTCATTTAGGATTTGTGCTTCTACTACTACTTCTACTGCTGTGGCTACTACTATTGCTACTCGTACTACTACCGCTACTACTACTCTTACTATTACTACTGTAAAAAATTTTAAGAGAGATAAAGAGTAGTAATGATTTTTACGACTGTAACGATCCCACTAACGCAAATCAATTGTAACAGTTATAATAGGTTCGCCTTCGCATTCTTTTCCGCCAAACAATGGCGTGGGATTATTGCAGCTTCTCTCCTTCTTAAATGTTTCAGTTTTGTCGGTTTTTTCGATGCTAGTCCATTCAGACCAACTGGTCCAATCACCGTCTATCGCTGTATTTTTTTTTAAAAAAGAATGGTTAGATGATGAAGATGGTTAAATGATATATGGAAGGGATGATGATGACGATGATGAAAAAATTAGAAGATAACGTAAACAGATAGTGATGTTGGCTGTATATATTTTACGAGTATTTATTGAAATTTAATTATATCTACTTATTTGAAAATAATTTTCAGTTTGACTTACGCTGCGGTAACTCTTCCATGTTTCCTATAATTTCTACAGGCTCTCCAATGCAGTCTTGCCCGTCAAAAGCTGGGAACGGGTTGCTGCATGTTCTCGTTCTTTTTTGAACTCCTAATTCTACGTCATTCGTTACATCTGACCACTCTGACCAACCACCGTCAACGGCTGTGGCGATGTGTAGCGATGGTAGGCGAGTGTGGTCGTGGCGATGTTGATGTGTGGCGGTTTTGATATTTATTAGGCAGTAGGAGATGACGCTGATTAGGTAAAATTTGAAAGGAAGCGTAGAAAATTTAAAAATTTTGAAGAGTTTGGGATGACAAAATGAGGATGGTAATTACGTTAGACGAATGAAAAGAGTAATATGTTAAGAATTTGCCAGAAAAATTAGAAATTTTTTAAGAAATTAATAATTTATATTTTCATTTTGATAACTCGCTGAATAAACAAAATTATAAAAAGACGAATAACGCAAAATATAAAAAAGTGAGTTCATTTATTCCATTCCATCATACTTACGGGAAGTTGTTTCTTTAGTCTCAGTATCATTCCCGTAACAATCCCAGCCACCATTCATTTGGGCTGGCGAATCACAGAGCCGGGTTCGTTTAATAATTTCAGGGTTGACCAATTTAGTCGGGGTTGACCATTCACCCCACTCGCCCCAATTACCATTTATAGCTAAAATTTAAATTTCGTTTTTTTACTTATTAAACAGTTACTTAGGCCTAAATATTGAAAATATCAATTAATATATGTAGATGGCTGGATCTAATTTCTACTGCATTCTTTAGTCATTTTGTCTGATAGAGTGAGATTAGCTCAATGAAAAAAATGACGAAAATAAATGATTTTTTGAGTAAGAAATTTGAAATCAGCAACTCAAACAAAAATATTTTTCGCTAAAAATCTTTGTTATTATAAATATGGAACGAACGGTTTTTAATATCCTTGAAGTCGATGCCTGAACCATAGCAGGGATTTCCACCATTGGCGGGTGTTGGGTTGTCACAAATTCGCGCCCTTGTGAGTGTCTCAGACGGAGTCACCCCGATAGGGACCGACCACTCGCCCCACAAACTCCAGCCTCCGTCAACGGCTAAAATTTTTTTAATGAATTAAAGTGATTTTAACAATCAAATTGTAAATCAGAATAAACCAAAAAATAGTAGCAAATTAAATGTATAATTAAAGCAAATTTAAATCTGCCAACGTAAGTGGAACTCTGGGACAACTGGAGCCGATTCCTCTTTATCTCCCATGCAATCCTTTCCTTCGTATTGAGGAGCCGGATTTGTGCAAGTTCTCGTACGTTTCACGTATTCAGGAGTGGCCTCACCGGTTGGTTTTGACCAATCTGACCATTCAGTCCAACCGCCATCGACGGCTGTCGTTTTGATCGGAGGCGTGCGAACATATAAAAAAAACTCTTCATCGATTATTCACTCTTAGTGAAAAGATTGATTTCATCACATAGCTTTTGCGTGGTTGGTGCAAACGAAGAATGAGAAATGTATGGTAATAATGATGGATCAAAAATATTGCAGATGTTTGGAAAAATAAAGAAGACAGAGGTGGAAAAAATTTCTGTTTTAAATAAACTATAGTTAACAAATGACAAAACAACAGATGACTTTGTAAAACTTTTTTCCATTATGAAAAGAAGAACACAAATAAAATTGCCAAACCAACCAGCCAACCAGTTACCAGACAAAACAATACACCAACGTTTATAATGAGGTTGAGTTTCGGAACTAGGACCCTCGCAAATGACACCTCCGAACGATGGAGCCGGATTATCGCAGGCCCTGTAGCGCGTTTTGCTGGTCGGATTATCCGGACTTGGTTCGATTATCCAGTCCATCCATTCACCCCACAATCCATCAACAGCTAGTTTTAAGTTTATATTATATATATATATATATATATATATATAATATTACGTAATTTTAGTGAGATTTAAAACATTTTCAAACGATCAATACAATTTCTAGTGTAGCATTTCTAATGCCCGATCATTAGTTGAGAACAGCACTAACGTTTTGGCTTATCGTCTTCGAGCTGGTTGACCTCCACGGAACTGCCCACACAATCGTCGCCACCGTAGGCGGGGGCAGGACTGTCGCAAGCCCTCGTTCTCATTATTTCATTGTGCCCATCGGCATTTTGTTTGGCCCAACCTGACCAGTCACCCCATCTGCCATGAACGGCTTTTGATTGAAAAAAATTATTAAAAATATTTTTATCCCACTTACGAAAAGTTATTTAAAATACTCTTGTTCTTCGTGTTTGTATTGATGCGATGAAAATAAACTAACCATTATATATTAGTTTAGACTGTTGGTTATCACCCTCGCACATTTTCCCGCCAAAGGCCGGCGATGGATTTGTACACGTTCTCACACTTGTTATGGTTTCAGGGTTTTCGAGTCCAGTTGGTTTTGACCACTCCGACCAATCTGACCATACTCCGTCAATGGCTATCAATTTAAAAAAACAATATATGATGTTCTCCTAGATATATGATGTTCATTATGATATTAAGAATTATGTTGTAATACTGATTGACGTGTTTGTAAGATTTATTATTAATATTTATTATTATTATTATTATTATTATTAATCATTAATAATAATTATTATTATACAAAAATCTATTCTCACGTTTGGGACTATTTTTAACTTTGACATCTTCTTCGAAATCTTTACCCTCGCATTCTTTACCGCCAAATTCTGGCGTTGGACTGTTGCATGACCTCGTTCTCCTAGATATTTTGCGGTCTGCTTGCCCAGGTACTGGGATATATGCATCCCATTCACTCCATTCCCCCCAATGTCCGTCGATGGCTATATCGGGTTGAGGGTTTTTGAAAAGAGTTAGAAAAATTAGTTAAAGGGAGAAGGTTTTTTAATCTCTGTATTTTTTGGCTGTAATTATAACAATGGATAGCAATGAGGAATGTTAAAATGAATCGGAATGTGATAGTAGCCATGAAAAATAATGTCATATATTTTTGGCGCCCTATGGTATAATCTCAAAGAAAGTGCAGAACGCTACAAAGAAAGTTATAAAATATTTCTAATGAAAAAACTATTTCAAAAATAATTTTTTGGTTTTATTAACTAGAAAACTTTTAAATTCGTGAACGTTCAATTAAATGAAAACGAACGGTTTGTGATGTTTAGCAATTCCCTTTTATCTCCATCGCAATCTCTCCCATCAAACGCACTCCTAGGGCTGTCACATTCTCTTGTCCGGAATATTGTTTCTATTGGTGTCTGTCTGGAAGGAGTTGACCACTGACTCCAACTGCTCCAGCCACCATCAATAGCTAGATTTTGAAAAAAAACCATGTGGTTGTTCCGATCCAAACATAACGAGTTGGTTTGTAAATTAGTCATTTTATTTTATTTTGATGGTCATTTTTTTAAAATGTGGTTTGTTTCGTTTGAAGATATATTTATTGCTCGTAAAAGGCGGGGATCTCTACGCATTCGAATCCAGTTACTACAACAGCAGGGCCAGCGACTTTACCGTAATACCATGGCGCCACTTAATAATAATTAGTATGTTTAAAAATCTTTGTCATCGTTTTTAAAACATCACACTTTTTTGGACCACATTGTTTTAAATTGTAGTAATGTAAGACACAAGAGTCAAAAGCAGGATGAACACTAGCTATGTATTTTCGATTACTTAGGAATAAGGAAAGAAAAAATAGTCCACTTACGTCTTGTAAGTTCTTGAGTGTCAACGGGCGAACCATCGCAGCCCAACCCTCCAAACTCAGGTGCAGGACTGGTACATGTACGCGTTCGTGTCAGGGTTTCAGGGTTGGTCATATGGGTCGGAGTTGACCATTCCGTCCAATCGGTCCATTCGCCGTTGATTGCTGTTTGAAAATGTTCTCGGTGATGTTTCTCAGTTGAAGCGATTGCAAATTTTTCATATTTAGTTAACAGGCCAACGTACATGCGAGACGAAACTTCAAATTTGTTTCATTCAAAAATTTATCATTAATTCATGGTGACAAAAAATTTTCTAACGTGTTGTATACGGTTTCGTGTCAGTATTCGGTCCGACACAATTTAAACCACCGTACAAGGGAGCCGGTGAGTTGCATTGTCTCGTTCTCGTCAAGTTTTCAGGGTTGGACAGTTTTGTGGGTTCACTCCAGGGACCCCACTCTCCCCACACTCCGTCTATCGGTCTCGTGATGTTCTCGTATTCGATATTCGGTCCGACACAATCTTTGCCTGAAGATTTTTAGCAAAATCGTTTCAAGTTACGCATCGTGTAAATATTACATAATTGAATTTATTTTTAAAAAATCCAAAATGTGACAAATATTTTTCAAACAGAAATAATTATATATTCATCAGCAACGCTGGTTAATCTTTTTTTATAAACTAAAATTATGAGTAGCCGACCGACCGTTGAACATAGGCTGTGGATTGTTGCAAGCACGTGTCCGGTTAATCGTTTCAGGATTCAAAAGTCCCGTGGGAGTAGACCACTGAGACCAGGCTGACCACCCGCCGTTGACTGGAGTCCTTTCAGTGATCACTTTCGTTTCTTGGTCAGGCCCTGTGCAGGGACGTCCATCGAAATCAGGCTTTGGTCTGGTGCATGTACGAGTTCTTTTCACGGTTTGAGGTAAGTTCCACTCGGATGGAATGTCCCACGGACCCCATAGCGCCCAACCGCCATTCACGGCTTTTTTTCAAATATTTTTTTATTATAAAATTAAAATCTAAAAACTGTACAATCAATCATTTAAAAGAATAAAACATGTAATTCTTCAGTTTGAAACTTACGTCTAGTGATTTTTTTCGTATCTTTGTTGGAACCTTTGCATCCCTTGCCGCCATAAAGTGGAACAGGATTATCGCACGTCCTCATTCTTGCTAGTGTTTCAGGATTTGTTCGATTTGTTGGGGTTGACCAGGCGCCCCACTCTCCCCAATTCCCATTTATTGCTGGTGAATAAATTACAAAATAATATATATCAAAAAATCACTTCAAACAGAAATTTCATTGATGAATTAAATTTTTGAAAGTACTAACGTTTGGGCACGCGCTTTGTTTCAGTATCGTTTCCAACGCATCTTAGACCACCGTACATGGGTGCAGGGTTGTTGCAACTTCTTACTCTTGCGTAAATTTCTGGAATTTTTGTTACCATCGGGCAAGACCAGTGACCCCATGGTCCCCAATTTCCGTGAATGGGTCTAGTTAATTCTTTTGTGTTTTCATCAGGTCCATCGCATAATTTTCCATTATACTCTGGTCTTGGATTAGTACAACTACGAGTTTTTGTCAGAATTTCTGGGTTAGTTAAACCTGTGGGAAGGGACCACTCCGACCATTCGGTCCAACCGCCATCAATTGGTCTTGCGTAGTTGATTGTATCGTCGTAAGGTCCCTCACAATTAGATCCGCCATTCGAGGGGGTTGGGTTGTTGCAGTATCTACGTCTTATTAAAATTTCAGGATTTGTTAATTCAGTGGGTTGTGACCATTCACTCCATTCACTCCAGCCACCATTTGTAAGTACTTTTACATTTTTGTGTTCTTCCTGCGGGCCCTCACAGTTTTTTCCTTCATACTGTGGAGACGGATTGTTGCAGAATCTCGTTCTAGTTACTTCAGTCGTTCCTTCAGTAGGTTCGGACCAAGAAGACCACGGTCCCCAGCAACCATCAATTGGATTATTTATCGTTCGTGTTTCTCTTTCTGGACCACTACAGGGTTCACCTCCATTTTCGGGAGTAGGGTTGGAACAGTATCGATATCTAGAAAGTTCTTCTGGATTTGACCGACGTGTTGGTTCAGACCAGTTGGTCCATTCCGTCCATCCACCATTGACCGGTTCAAGTGTTTTTCTTTCTTCATCTAATCCAGCGCAAATTTTACCGCCATATAATGGTAAAGGATTGTTACATGATCTTGTTCTTTTCCACTCTGTTAATTGTGAAATTTGAAGCCACTCACCCCAATCACTCCATGCTCCATCGATTGGCCTATTAATGTAAACAGTTTCCGTGTCATCTCCTTCGCACATCAAACCACCGTTTGCCGGACGTGGGCTGTCGCACTCTCGTTTTCGGGTTATGGGCTCTGGATTAAGTAATCCTGTCGGTTTATCATAAGGACCCCAAGAGCCCCAATGGCCATTGACCGGTAAATCAATAGGTTTAGAATCTATATTATTACCAAGACAATCGTCACCTCCATGCTGAGGTTCAGGATTAGAGCAATTTCGTGTTCGGTACACAGTGTCGACATTTGTTCGTTTTTCTGACCAATCTGACCAATCTCCCCAATTACCGTGAATTGGATGATAAATTAATTTGGAATCCGTATCATCACCTTCACATTTCAATCCTCCGTTTGAAGGCATGGGCTCATTGCAGTATCTTACTCTAGTAACTATTTCTGGGTTAGTTGCACGAGTTGGTTCGGACCAAGGTGTCCACAACCCCCATTTGCCATCAGTTGGATGTTCAACGTGTTTTGAATTACTATTGGGACCAGAACAATCTAAGCCCCCAAACAACGGAGCAGGGTTGTCACATTTTCTAAAACGAATCATTGAGGACTCGGATTCTGGGGTCCATTCAGACCAGTCACTCCAGCCGCCATCAACTGCTCTGTATATTGTTATTTCATCAATATCTAAACCAGAACACTCTTTACCGCCACCAAATGGTATAGGGTTATTGCAAACTCTTCTTCTTCTTATTGTCTCTGGATTAGTTGCATTAGTAAGAATAGACCACTCTCCCCAATCACTCCATCTTCCATCAATTGGTTTTTCAACTGCCTCGAATTCCACACCGACACAATTTTTACCGCCAAACAGGGGTGATGGATTTGTACACGTGCGATTATGTTCTTGATATTTTTTATCAGGTGTAAGTGTCCATTCCGTCCATTCTGACCATCCTCCATCAATGGGTTTTTCTATCGTGTATGTATCTTCTGGAAATCCTTCACAGTCTTTACCGCCGTTTACGGGACTTGGGTTGTCACAACTTCTAGTTCTTCTTATTGTTTCTGGATTAAATAAACCAGTAGGAGTTGACCAAACTGACCAGGGACTCCAGTTACCGTCTTTTGGTTCAATCAAATCTTCTAATTCTTCGGAAAAACCATTACAATTTGAGCCGCCATAAAGAGGAGCTGGATTCGAACATGTTCTGTAACGACTTTTTTTCCCTAGTTCATGTAAAAGTTTCCATTCTGACCATTCATTCCATCCTCCATTAACTGGAGTATAAACATCTGTTCTATCTGTACTTGGACCAATGCATTCTGATCCTCCGTTTGACGGAGAAGGACTATCGCAAAATCGTTTTCTATAGACTGTTTTGGGATTTAATTGATATGTTTGAATGAACAAATCAATCCATTCGCCCCAATCGCCCCAATTTCCATCAACAGGTCTAGTAATAGGCTTCGTTTCAATTTTTGGTCCTACGCAATCTTTGCCATTAAACATTGGAGGTTTACATTCTCGAACACGCTGAACTTCATCTGACTTACAATTAGCATCAGACCATTGTCCCCATTCTTTCCATGATCCATCAATTGGTGTGTATTTATCTTCTTTATCTTGATCATTACCTTCACAATATGCACCGCCGTTAGCTGGTGTTGGATGATCACACACTCGTTTTCGATAGATTGTTTCAGGATTAGTTAAATGAGTTAATTCAGACCAGGGACCCCAATTACTCCAGCCTCCGTTTGTAGGAAGAATAATGTGAACAATTTCAAAACTTGGTCCAGCACATAGCTTGCCAAAATACTCTGGCTTAGGATTAGTGCAAGTTCGATCTCGCCTCTTTTCTTCCGTTCCGTTGAATGCCCACGGTGTCCATTCGGACCAGCCACCATCAATTGGATGGTACTCTTGTTTAGTATCTTGATCCGGTCCAGAACAGTCTGCTCCTCCGTTTGAAGGAGCTGGATTAGTACAATGGCGAGTGCGTGTAAGTGTTTCTGGATTTGAATCAAAAGTTGGAGTGGACCAGGGGCTCCATTCTTCCCACTTGCCATCGGTTGGAAAGATTACATCTTTTTCATCTCGCTCGTTACCACTGCAATATTTTCCGTTATTACTTGGGGGTGGTTTGTTACACACTCTTGTCCTATAGATTTTCGTGCTGCTTGAAACAGGTCTGGACCATTCTGTCCAATCACTCCACTTCCCATCAATTGCTGAAATATAACGATTATTTGACATTGTCAAGTGAAATGATCGTAATTCATATTTAGAAAAAATTGATTTGTTTTACTTTTTACCACAGTTAATAAAATATATTCATTTATAATTAGTGTTTCAAATTTTTATTGCAAATTAATCGAAAAAGTTTTCACTTACGAGAATAGACTTGCTTCGAATCTGTATCGGAGCCATTGCATTTTTTTCCACCGTTGCCAGGCTCCGGGTTGTCACATTTTCTTTTCCGAGTTTGAGTTTCTGGATTTTTTGTTCCAGTAAGAGGAGACCAATCTTCCCAAGGGCTCCATCCTCCGTCTATCGGCTTAGGAACTAGTTGACAATAATTACAGAGAAATGAGACAGGTTTTACAGCTTTTTTATTTCTAATAATTAGGCGATAAATTAAGAAATTGTTAAAATTTAATAAACTGAAACATTGCTTTCGTTGAATGCGGAAAATTTATTGAATCAAAATAAAAAATAAAAAATCTGAACCTTCCTCAAGATTATCAAGTCCAAGATCGTTATTGTATTCATCATCGGTTGGCGTAACTTTCGGATCCGTTTTACTGATAAATTTATTAAACTTTTTAAATTTATTAAAATTTATTTAATTTTATATAATTAACTTATAATATTATTAATATGCATGCTAGAGAGATTGAACTAACGAAGTTTCAACTGATTTTCCTCTGCATATGCCTGTAATTCCGTCATTCTTACAAACTCTTGTTCGTGTCCAAATTGTGCCGACAAGTTTCCACTCTCCCCATAAAAACCAATCTTTAAGGACTTCTACCATTTCGTGAGTAATAAAATAGTGTTGTATTATCACATCTGATACATCTAATCTAATGCGACGTGAATATTTCAATGAATAGAAAAATTACCATCGTCGGCACACGAGTTCTTGCGTCTTTTTTTAGTTATTTTGATAGTTGTAGTTGTTGTTATTATTTCCTTCTTCTTTTGAATGCATGCTCCTCTGCATTTTCCTGAAGATAGCGCGTTTTTACAAACTCTTTTCCGAACCCAGAAATCATCCGCATCCTTTTCCCACTGGCTCCATTCGTTCCAATCTTCGAGATTCTCTGGAGACGTTGGTTCTGCCAATAAATAATTTATTTCTCTTATTAGTTACATGTTTTTAAAATGATAATATGTATTGAAAATTATTTAATTAATCATTTTAGTAAATAATATATCAATTAATATTTGCAGAACTATTTATCTCGAACCGTTTGTAATTTCTATAGAACCGCTAGAGTCAATTGATTCAGAACCATGTTTACGTTTCGAGAGTCTTGCCTGCGTAGCTTTTCCTCTGCATTTTGCATCTTTTCCAACATTTTTACACTTCCTGGTCCTAGTGCGAACTCCAAATGCATCCACCATCCATTCACCCCAACCGTACCAGTCTTCTTTAACTTCGTCTAGAAAATGTGGAAAGTTTTATTAAAAAAAAAAAAAAAAACAGATTCGTATAAAAAATAATGGTGATTTTAATATTTGTTATATTATTCAACAAATTAATTTTATGCCTTAATTGTAATTCATTATATTATTCAACAAATTAACTTTAGACCTGAACCGTAATTCAATTCAAGTAAAATGCCTTTTATTTCATCAACGGCTTAATTTATTAACTTGTTGAATAACTTATACTACATCAAACGCATGTGTCTAGCAAATTCTCAAACAATTTCATATGATGAAGAACCTTTATCGACGGTATAAGAGAAAGAATCGTCGTTGTCGCTACTGCCACTGCCACTGCCACTTCCCTTTACCTTCTTCTTCCTCTTTTGTGAAACTTTTCCTCTGCACGGTCCATTCTTTGACTGATTTTTACATTTTCTCGTTCTTTGCCACCATCCGTCTGCTCCCTGAACCCACTCACCCCAAACTTCCCAGTCTTCTGCTATTTCTGCGATCGTATCTAAATTAAAGAATTTTTATTGATTAAAAAACAATTTAAAATTAACTGTTAAACTGTTTTTTTAGGGAAAAAATCAAATTTTTCTCTATCTAACCTGTTTGAACTTCATAAGACCAACTTTCATCAACGCTACCACTACCGTGCCCATGTTTTCCTTTGTGTCTGCGGTGGCTCTTGCCTACAAAAATATTTAATTTTAAATTAACAAGCAAGTGTAAATTTTTGTTTGTTTTTCACACTTTAACTCTGACGTGCTAAGTGGAGCTTTCGTGTCGATCTATATTTATGGTTAACCTTCATGACAGAGAAGACTGTTTCACAACACCGCATGGTTCACGATAATCTTCCAGTTTAAAACATTCACTAGTTGAACCAAAATATTGTGCAATAACAATCCGAATTTCTATCGCCCGAGTTAACGTGCCAACCAAAATTAAATTTGAATTTATTCTAATCATTAATATTCAACTAACCGTCGCCGAATTTAGATCCGTGTCTGGTCTTCTTCTTGCGTCTGGTCTGCGTGGTTTTTCCTCTGCACTTCGCATCCTTTCCAACATTTTTGCACTTCCTCGTTCTCGTCCAAATCCCATTCACATCCAAGATCCACTCGCCCCATTCCAGCCAGTCTTCTTTCACTTCGTCTGAAAAAAAAAGTTTCAGAATTTTAAATTTTTTAAATGAAATTCCAAAAAAATTTGTAAAATGTTACACTAGATTGGTTAAAAAAGTAAGGAAAAAAATAAAAAATTGTTTGGTATCATGGTATCAAAATATATCTTTTAAATGAAATTGATATAAAATTCGAAAGCAAAATATTCTATTTGAATAATATTTCAAAAATTGAAAACCTTTATCAATAGAAATAGACCAAGAACCAGAGTCGTCGTCGTCACTGTTGCCACTTCCCTTCATCTTCTTCCTCCTCCTTTGTGAAACTTTTCCTCTGCACGGTCCATTCTTTGACTGATTTTTACACTTCCTCATTCTCTGCCACCAGCCGTCTGCTCCTTGAATCCACTCACCCCAAACTTCCCAATCTTCTAAAACTTCAGCCATAAAATCTGGATTGAAAATAATTTGGCATGATATAAAGGTCGTACTTTGGGATTCGACTGGGTTTAAGGATTGCACGAACTGATTTTTGAAAAAGATGAATGAATAAATAAGTAGCATTTGTGTTTTTTGTTTTTTATTGAAAAATTAACCATAATTGAAATTAGATTTATTGCGCAAATTATTATTAAATTGATGTCTTTATTGCCATTAAAGACTATGCTTACTTATTTGACCAATTTTTATGTCAGTTAAACCATGTAAGTTTTTTTTATATAAATTAGAAAACCTCAAACTCTACATACATTAAATGAGAAAATTAAAAATAAAATGAAAAATTATTTTCCTCTACCAGCTTGATTTTCGTATGACCACGAATCACTAAAGTCTCGACTGCCATGTCCGTGTTTTCCTTTGTCTCGGCGATGACCTGTTATTAGAAATAGATTCATACATATACATACGCATACATACATAGTTTTTGAGTTTTGGACAGGCAGTATTCGAACCAAGTCATCGCGCAATGACAACTGAAGACATCACACTTCTAGCGACTGAGCTAACTCGTCGACCGTTTAAATGGGTCATCTTTACCGTGTCTGGTCTTCTTCTTCTTGCGTCTGGTCTGCGTGGTTTTTCCTCTGCACTTCGCATCCTTTCCAACATTTTTGCACTTCCTCGTTCTCGTCCAAATCCCATTCACATCCAAGATCCACTCGCCCCATTCCAGCCAATCTTCTTTCACTTCGTCTGGAGGAAAAATATTTTCAAAATGTTTGAAAATTATGATTATGTTCATTTACTTTTATTCATTCATTCATTCTTTCATTTATTCGTTCGTTCAATTAATTAATCAATCAATCAATCAATTATTCATCCATTTCTTTAGTCAGTCATTCATTTCTCAATAATAAGAGTTACTAAGTAACATAACATACTGAACTTATATTAATTGCACAGGTTGGTTGGTGATTTGTCGGTAAGTTGATGAATGAGCAGATGTAATGATAATAAAAATGATAATAAAATAACAATAGCAACAATTATTAATATAATAATAATAATAATAATATTATTATTATTATTATTATTATTATTATTATTATCATCCTGTTACTTGTTATTGCACAAGATGGTAGAAGATGTTGCGATAACAAGATTTATCAAATAGTCGATCGCATTGCGTGTTTCGTGTATCAATATCACAGCGTTGCATTTAAAAAAATAATAATAACAAATAAATAAATAACAATAATCAATAATAATAATTATAAAACTGTAAAACTATGGAAATAAAAATGGTAACAGTGATTAAAACTTAAGCGATAGAACGGGCCAATGGTAATTTTTTCATTTAGATGAAGGCATGCGGTAGTGATGAAAACGTGATGGTTGAAGAAAATTATGACAAGATGGTTTAAAACTACGGTGCTTGACATTAATTACACTCAGTTCTTCAAGTTTTTTTTAATTTTGAAATTTCACAAATGGATTGGTTGTTGCTTAATTGTTGCTTATAATATAAAACACGTTTTGGTTATTTATTTCTGTTATTTAACGCAATTTTTTCATTTTTTTCAAACCTTTATCAATGGAAATAGACCAAGAACCAGAGTCGTCATCATCGCTACTGCTACTGCCGCCACTTCTCACCTTCTTCCTCCTCCTTTGTGAAACTTTTCCTCTGCACGGTCCATTCTTTGACTGATTTTTGCATTTTCTCGTTCTTTGCCACCAGCCGTCTGCTCCCTGAACCCACTCACTCCAAACTTCCCAGTCTTCTAAAACTTCCACAACTGAAATTGCTTTGTAAATTGTATAATAAAAAATTTGAAAAATTTAAAGAAAAGTAATTTTATTTCAATTTGGTTTTATAAAAGTATCATGCATGAACATGCAGTTGTAAAGAACAACCTTTGTCAGCTTCGTATGACCAGGAATGGCCACTGCTGTCGCCACCATCGTGACTGCCGTGGCGATGACCATGATGACGACCACGACCACCAATTTTCACCTTCTTCTTCCTTCTTTGTGAAACTTTTCCTCTGCACGGTCCATTCTTTGACTGATTTTTACATTTTCTCGTTCTTTGCCACCAGCCGTCTGCTCCTTGAACCCAATCACTCCAAACTTCCCAGTCTTCTAAAACTTCAGCCATGTTGCCTGATAAAAAGTTTTAATAAAAATTCTTTATAATTTTAATTTTTTAATAAAAATCTTTAGAAAGAGAAATTTTCAGTTTGGTTTTTATATATTTGCAACATATTAATTAATAGCGTAATAGCGTACGTTATGTAATTAATAGCGTACGTTATGTTTAACACGTTTGAAGTGAAATGTATTATAATTCAGTGGTTCTTGTGGAAAGAGTTATTTACTGACCAAAGTCAACTTCGTAGGACCAGGACTCGTCACTATCCTCACTATCTTGATCATGACCTTTTCCCCCTCGATGACCCTTCCTTCTTAATGCTTTGAAGGTCCGAACTTCCGTTTCATCTGATTTCAATATGGGCGTCAATTTCTTATCGAAAAAAAAACTTGAAAATGAGGAACAAAAACTTGAAAAGTTGAAGTAACAGAATGTTTCAAACGAATGCTTATAAAAAGCACACAGATACCGTAAGGTTGTTCACTGGATTCTTCCGACCATTCTTCAGATGATTCTACCCAAGTTTCTGTCCTCATCCTAGTTTGTTTGTTTGGACCCCTGCAGAGACCTTTCGGTGCGTTCTTGCAAGTTCTGGTGCGTACTGACGTTCCGTTCGCTTGTTGCGTCCATTCTGACCACTCGTTCCAATCGACCGGCACGTCGGCGATGCCACCTAGCACGGTTATTTGTAATAATTTCAACATCGCAAAATTTTAATTTGTTTGTTGCAAAGTTGATGAAAATTTAATAAAAAAAAATTGAATATTTATTTCCCACCTCTCGTCTTATTTTCCACAACAGTCCATGATTCCTCATCGAAGGATTTTTCACCTAGCAAAGAATCGAGATCAAGTTTCATGTTACCAACACCAGATCCACCTCTGCTACTCCACTTGTAGGAACCTGACGTGAACGATGAACTCCATCTTGCTTCCTTGTCGTGACTGCCTCCAATTTTCTGAAATCCTGTTCCATCCTTCGAACCGAATCCGTGTCCGGCGTTTTTTTTATTTGATGACGAGAAGGCTGACGAGAATGACGACTGCCAGCCGCCGTTTTGCGACGTTCCTGCGTTAAAAGGCAAAATAATTTCGAATTTCGAATTAATAAAGTATGAACATACAAAAATGTTGCATCGTAAAAGTTAAAATTTGATTTTGTAACATTACACTATTTATTTACCGGAAATGAAGGACGTTCCCTCAGTTGACCAATCCTCACTTCCATCTCTAAACATTCCTTTTCCTCCTCCTCCTCCTCCATGTTTACTCCCACCTCCTCTTCTTCCTCCCTTCCCCTGACTGCCCTTGTCTCCACTTTTACTTTTCTGGTTTTTGTCTCTGCTACCGTGAGAGCCAGGCTTGCCGACAACATTAGTTTGTTGCATTTGAACGGCACCTTAAATAATGAAAGATACGTTAACAAGCTGTTTTTATATTTTCATTTTTTGTTTTAAAATTTTGAAGAAATTAAATTTTTAAAGTTTTGTAAAAAAAATGAAATCATTGTTCAGACCTTGCTTGTTTTGGCTAAGTCCGAGTCCGCTTATTAGATTTATCAACGTTTTGCTATCTACCTTGTCACCTTGATTGCCAAGCAAATCTTTCATGTTTCCAAACTTCTCACTTCCTCCAAATTTACTATCAACCAGTTGGTAACTACTCATCTTCACACCACCTCCAAACTTTTCCCAGCTACCGTGGCTGTCGTCGTTGTCGTAAAATTTATTCTTTCCAGAAGTTTTGGCATCATGACCACCCTTGTTGCTTCCGCCCGATGACGAGAACACAACTGCACCACCAACAGATGGATTTCCTCCGAGACTGCTATAAGAGCCACCGACGTTACTGAAGCTACCACCAATCTGGTTTTTGTCCTTGTTTTTGTCGTTTTTAATGTTGATCAAACTGATAGCGGACTGTCCAGCGCTGGGAGGTCCACCGCTGGGAGGCCCATCGCCGGATTTCCCGCTGCCTGGGAGACCGCCACCGCCTCCACCGCCGCCACCACCACCACCACCACCACCATCTTTTCTTCCTTCAACTTTGAGTGCTTTTGTCAGAATGAGTTTGAAATTACAAAAGTTAATTCGCTATTTAACACTCATTTGTCATGATCGATTGTTCAATTTATCCGCTATCTCATCTCACTACAGTTACTTTTTACATTACTTCAGACAGTAATAAAATACTTAACGGCGTTGTTTGGCTCATTTAGTCTTAATAATTCTTTTGATTTTCAATTAAAAAACTTTTTTTTCACCATAAAACTCACCCAAAATGGCAAGAAGCAACCACGTCAGCAGATGGCGTTTGCGAGGGCGCATCTTGAAATGACGTAAGTAGAATGTGTCTCACTGCCCTTTAATTAGCATAAAGTATTCATATATGGATAATAATTAAATTAACTAATTAACATATTATATTCAAATAAGTAAGTTTTTGAAATTTATAAATGTTTTAAGACAAATTTTCCAGAAGAACCTTGATACAGAGGGCCAAGAAGAAATCTAATTTTCAATCTTATTTAGCTTTTCGAGCAAATATTACACTTCATATACTCCTAAGTAATTAGTACTGCAACTATTAGTGAAAGTAATTTTTACTACAACGAATTAAAGCTTCCTATCAAAACAGTTAATAATTTTTTTTTATCTCACTTCAGTTAGTTATAAAATGCTCAACTTAACAATTCAGCTGAAACCAACGGGCTGTTGCATTGACATTAAAGAAGATGAATCGAGCTGGTTTTATTACGACGATTACGTGACTCTGGTGATGATGATGACGACGACGATGGTAATGTTGTTGTTGTTGTTGTTGATTGCGAATGTAGCGGTAATAAAAAGATTGACCGCCGTATGGAAGAGAACAAAGATGAACGTGATATTTAAAAATCTAGTATAACATAACCATGTAGGTCAAAAAGTTTTAAAAATTCTTCCTCTAGGTACGATTATTATTATTAGAATGATGACGACGATGACGACGATGATGGTGATGATGATAGTAATGAAGATGATGACGACGACGATGATGATAGTAATGGGGTATGATGATGAGGAGGAGGAGGATGGGGATGTGATGATGGTGATGATGATAATGGTGGTGTGAAGATGACGACGATGATGGTGATATCAGGAAGACTAAGACGTTGGGGCCAAATGTTGCCAACCTACTTAGATGCCCGCTCGTGACGACGCATGAGATAACAACAACAACAGCGCCATCTTTATCAATAATCATAAGAATAATACTCAAATAATTACTACTACTACTACTAGTTGAACTTTTTAACATCTTGTTGCGACAATAACGAAAGTAATAAAATTGATGATAATAATGATGATACTACTATTACTATTACTGCTGCTGCTGCTTCTGCTGCTTCTACTGCTTCTGCTGCTGCTACTACAACTACTGCTTATAATAATAATATAAATAATATAATAATACTAATAATAATAATATTATGACATAAAAAATATTATTATCCACCTCAATCGTTAAGCTATCTTAATGTTATTGTCTTCGATGGGTTGATAATTGTATAAATAATAACAACAATAGTAATATTAATTTAAAATATAATAATGAATTATAGATATAATAATAATAATTATTATTATTATTCATATTATTATGATTCTTATTATATCGTGACATTGTAGCACGCGGAAGAATTAACTCCTTAACGTTAGAGTTCCAGCTGTTGTTGTTGTTGTTGTTATTGTCATTATTATTATTGTTGTTGATGTTGTTGTTGTTGTTATTGTTATTAGATTGCCATTTTATCAATTCTAACTTTATTTTATTTACTATTGAATAAAGAGCAGTGTTCGCATAGTTCGTAGTTGTTGTAGCTGATGTTGTTGTTGTTGTAGTTGATGTAGTTGTCGTTTTTGTCGTTGTCGATGTTGTTGTTGCTGTTTGTTTCAGAAATCACGATAACCTTTCATAAGGCGGATATGTGTTTCTGGATGAATTGATCGAGTGCCCACGTCATCATCATCATCATCGTCATCATCATCATAATCATCATCCTCGTCATTGATTGGTTGACTGAAAACAAACAAGATAAACATAAACCTATTGGTCAACATTTACCTTTACTAGGAAAATATCGATTTATCATCATCATAATCATTATTATTATTATTATCATTATTATTATTATTACAACTATTACTATAGCAGATTTTACGACGATGAAGACGACGACGACGATGATGATGTGGTAATGGTGTTGGAAGAAAATATTGACTAGCAGTTTATAAAAGTCTCTACCTACGTAACAAGCTAGCAACGTGTTACTCTTCTCAGAATGCATTCGAACACGGTTGGCTCGAGTTTTGGCTACTTTTACATTTTTTTTCTCTCTACTACTACATGACACCTTTACCGTCTGAGCTAATACGTCATCCTGTAAAAATGTCATACATTTGAGAGAAAAAATTATATATATATATATATAATATGAAAATTTTAAATATAACTATCTAAAAATAATGTTTACATTTTGCACAAACCAAAAAATCTGTATACTTTAGTGGCGTCATTTGTTTTTGAATCGTCAAAAAAAAACACCTCCAGACGTTTAAACTTTTAAAATTTTCGTTTATAGAAAGGGTTTTCCTATCGCGCGTAATTCATCTCAGTTAACATTAACATACATACCCACACAATTGCATTTACACACACTACGGACACAGACACACACATACACACACAAACACACACACACATATACACACACACACATATACACACACGCAAACACACATATACACATACACACACACAAACATATACACACATATACACAAACATATATACACATGCAAACACACACACACACATACACACACAGACAGATAGAAATACAGATAGAAATACAAAAAGAATGTCGTTCACTGTCCGCATGTCTCTGGCTCTGCCAACAGCCATCACCATTTTGGATGTGAAAATGCTTGGGTACGTTCTAAACACAGTTGATACTGTCATATTATCATATGATGGTTAGTCTCTGGTGACGATTATGATGATGGTGATGCTGACGATGATGATGAGGATGACGGTGGTGGTGGTGGTGATGACGACGACGATGATGTTGTAAAATAATTTTCATCAACTTTTTTCCCTCAAGCTTTTTTTGGGTCCTGTCAGGTTAAATTAGCAAGAGAGGTGATTGCGAAATTTTCTAAGGTAGGTAACTGTCACACTCTCACACACACGCACACACACACACACACACATACCCGCACACACACGCGCACACACACACACGCACACACACACATATATACATATGATATGGATACATACATGCACATACACACGTAAATTTAATCAAACTTTGTGTCATTGCCAGCGATTATTAAAATGATTTTCTAATGATTAGTTGATTAATTGTATGAACAAACAATATATCAATTATTATTTTAGTTAATAATCCATTTCAATTAATTTTTTATTTATTTATTTATTAACTAATTTGAGTTTTTGGTTTATCTGAAACAGAGTAAAAAAACCCTCTGGCTGCATTGTAATAACAGTTTGAATTCCACTAACTCGATCTACAGTTTTTTGAAAAAACATTCAATAACCGACATTTCAAAGGTTCGTCATCATCATCTTCATCGTCGTCATCACTATTCTTATCATCACCCCTGATATAGATACACATCTAATGATATACATAGATACACATCTAATGATATACATAGATACACTTCTAATGATTATACATAGCCACATCTAATGCTATACATAGTCACAACCACATCATCTTCATCGTCGTCATCACCATCGTTATTATCATTAGTGATATACAAACACTTGTGCTTAAAGCACAAACATCATCATCGTCATTACATCATTATCTATGCATACATCATCATCATAACTTCATCCTCATCATCATCACGTCATCATCACCATTACCATCATCATCATCACCATTACCATCATCACCACCATTACCATCATCATCACGTCATCGTCATCATCATCATCATTATTGCGTCATCATCATCGTCACCAACGTCAACAGGATCACATCTTATGTTCTAACTACGTAGCCAGCCAGTCTCTGAAGTACCTGATGAACTTTTATGGAAAGGTGCTGGTCGTAGGTTCCAACTGTCTGACCAGCGAACTCCAAGATGCCGGCATAGACTGCATCTCCTTGCCAGTAAATTTTTATCTTGTTGTGATTATTATTTGTATTTATTTATTTTGAATTAATTTTTTTTGATAACTTTTATTATCCAATTACATTCTATTATATTTTATTCGTAATTAAAATGAAATAATAAAAATGATTCATAATTTTTTTTTATTCCTCCAGGACTTCACAGAGGAAGATGAAACGTTCGATTCCCTGGTACATTACGAGGTTGATCCTCTGGTCTGTCGTTAATATTTAATTAATTAATTAATTGATTAATTATATTATTAATAATTTTTTATTATTCTTATCAATTACAATACGCTGTAATTTGACTCTGATAAGTTATGTATCATTTTAGAAAATTTGAAGCGTCGTTTTATAGACTCTGTCAAATGGTTTATTCAATTACTTACGACTTGAAACTAATTGAATAACTTAAACTAATTGAATAATTAGTTGAATAATTAGTTGATAAAAAGGTTCTACAAGTCAAAAAATCCAAAATAATAAACACTTCCAGGTGAATTGCGTTGTTATAGCAGCAGATGAAAATTTCGACTACGCCAAAGCAGCGAAAACAACAGCCTACCTCAGCAAGAAGAACATCAGCTACATTGTAGTCGACTACGTTCCTAAAAAAGATGAAGGTGAGCTGAGCTACGAGCTGAGCGACAGTTTAGTGACGTTGGATTGCGAAGAAGAAGCCAGCTTAGCCAAACGAAGCGAAGCCAGCGCCAATCTTTCTAGTGAGGATAGATATTTTCCAGACGATTTAAATGATGAAAATGATGAGTTTAATTCGATGGCCAAAGATGAAGAGAAGAAAGTTGGTGTTAATGAGTGTAAGGCATCAGAGTGCCGTCTAACTGAGGTGGCATTTGATGATAGGATCGCTGATCTAACTAACACCATCGGCTCTCAGCGCAGTAACTCTCAAAGAAATAAAATGATCAGCTTCCGAGCTGACGTATCAAGTCCTATCGACAAAAACATTGCTGGCGGGATGAGCGTCAACAGCTCAGCAATTCGGCGTGCTAGCGATGAAAACCGCATCAAAAGCATTTTCAGCCATAAAAGTGAGAAAGATAGGGCGAAAAGGCCGAGCGTTAATTCGAGTGAAACCGAAAATAAGAAACTCGAGTTTAAAGGTGATGATAAGAAGGTAGATGAACCCATTCAAAACGATCAACAACAGGTTTCTAAGACTGCAGAAAGCATTCCTGAAGGAAAATCGAGCAGGAATTTAAGCAAAGGAGAACCTGATGTTGCTGTTGTAATTGTTAAAATCGACAGCGCTGAATCGAAACACGGTGTCGAAAATGGTGCGAGTTCTGAAAAAATGCTGAACAATCACAATGAGCCACATTCAAAATTGGAAAATTTGAATTCAAATCATTCCCATTATAGGCCGTTGACTGGTTCAAATTCAGAAATAGAACTCAACCAGAGATATGAGTTGAGGAGCAACAATGATAGTCATGTCAAAATAGATGAGTCAGATGATGAAAATAGTCTTAAAGATGATGATAACAAAAATACTAACAAAAATAATGATGACAAAAACGAAGATGATAAGAAAAGTGCCCCACCAGCCATTGATTTAGTAGGCGCGAGAGATCCCTTCAACTACGGAGGTTAGAGATACAACGAAAAATAAGTAAATTAAAAAAAAATTGATTAATACAATACTAGACTTTGTTTTTTTTAATATATAATTTCTGAGAGTTATAAAAACATACAGACACACACACAAACACACACACGCACGCAACAGTTACGAGGTGCATCCTGAAGATGATATCGACCACGTGTGGTAGAGAGCCGGAATACCACATAGGGCTTCCAGAAGAGTTCACTTTGAAGGTTATGGCCATGAAGATGAAGGTCATTCCAGAAAAAATTCTCTTCATCACTGATAGGTAGGATGTAGTTAAGGTATCATTAACACGGGCACTGTGCATGCATGCAGACCCGTGCATGACACGACTCATGTGATTTGCGGGATTTATTTGCATTCGAACGCAGTTACTGCAACAGTACAAACAGGCGACTAAGCCATTACACCATTTCACTCTCTGTATTTTTTATAATAAGGATATGCTAACAAATTTACAGACTCCATCCAGATATCTTATTCGCTAACAGATGCAGCTTCCATTCTCTTCTGATAACAAACAAGCGAACGAAATTCGAAGAAGTAATTAAACTGGAAAGAAGTAGAAGAGAATTGGATAAGTGTGTTTTGTGATTAATTTTAATTAATTTTCAGTTGTTTTCTTCAGTGATCCTTTTCTTTCTGTAGATACCTTTGCCCGGAGTTCGTTTGCAAGTCATTAAAACATCTTAGCAAGATGGTCGGTGAAGTTTATTCATGGAAAAATTAGTAATATAACAGTAGTTTTTGTTTAATGATATAAATCATTTAGTCTTCTACAAATTAGTTTTTTAAATTTAGAGTTTTAACGTTCATATTACTTTTGTTGAATTTTTATAAAAAATCTAGCGTTTGTTTCGTGTTGAGTATGCGTTAAATGAATTATACAAAAACATATCACAAAATTAAAGAGATATTTAATGTATTAAATGAGCTTTACTGATTCAGGTGCAATATTGAGTCTAATTAGAATCTCGGTAGTATGAAGCCTATATGGCAATAATAATTACTGTTCTTTGCTAATTCAAATGGCAAAAGTAAACTTAGGTATGTTTACAAAAACTTGGTACGGCGACAAACGCTCATTTATTTTAAAATCGTTTACCCGAAAAATCCGGGAAAGTAAAGAAAATTTTTTTATTTAAAATTTCAAAATGGAGTTGATTTATTCAGTTTTCAACGATCCACCCAAAAAAGAAAGTCTCAACGGCGAGAAATTTGTTGTCAGCTTGTCACTGAAAAACATCCTGGCATTCTCATCCACCATTGACCTGGACTTACAGCAGAGCAGGTGGGTAAAGTCCGGTGTAATTATTTAATTAAATTGTTTTGCCATTATTTTCAATTTTTCATTCATCTTTAAATGGCAAATGATGATAATCGTTTGATCATCTTACCTATTTTATGAACCATCATCTAGGTTTTTGTCTATTTACTTCTGGCAGATTTCAGAGTTGAACTATGAGTATGACTGTGTGACATATAATGTCATACTCATTATGTAAAGTAAAAAATAGTAAAAAAATTATCATAAACAAATAATCTTTCTTTTAAAAATCAAATTTTTCATTGCAGAAAATCAAAAGCTTATGAAAATCAGCAGCAACAGCAGCAGAATGAAAAGCTACAACAGGTGGAAAGACCGGTGGCACAAACTACAACCAGTGCCACTAACTTAGAATCATGTTACTACGTTTATACCTGCGACATCGACAAGCCCTGGAAGGCCAACAAGGTTATGCAGAGTTATAACAGAATCGAAATTCTCGATTGGAGTCCCTGCAGTACATTCCTATTTGTGGCCACCTGCTCGACTGAGTGCTTTATTCTTCAGATGAAGGTTCGATTAGCGAACAGTGGAATGATTGAATGAATTGGATGTGTGATTTTTGATTTTCAAAATTAATTCTTTTTAACAATGTCTTATCCTCTAAAATTGTTTCGCAAACTTTATCTATCACTAACTCTTTCATTTGTACTATTAATTATTTTTATTATTAATTAATTATATTAATAATAATGATAATTATTGTATTTTTTGATTCAGGATTTTCTGATAAATGTATGGGACAAGAAAGTTTTCTATTACGATCTCCATGGGTTAAATGTTATTTCATCTAAATGGCTAAGTAATGGCTATAAGGTGAGAAATTCACTTTTAATCATTATTATTATTATTATTGTTACTGATTTTATTCATTTTCCTGTTTTTAATTATTTAAATTAATCCTCGTTACTGTGTTATATTATTTTTATTTGTAAATATTTTAAAATGAAATTCAGTAAAGAATGATTTTTGTTAAATTTTCTTCCCAGGTGAAATACTCAATAGAGAAGAATCAGGACACGTCAGCCTCACCGTCCTCATCTTCCAATAACAACAACAACAACAACATGAACCAGCAACTAGCTCAGAAGCATACGTATTCGTATGCTGAAAAGTTTCCAGCCATGTGTTCGAAGCCGGTCCTCAAGTCATTCGGCGGTTGTCTTTTGGATGGTATCTTGATCGTTGCTAACTGTGGAGTGGTCAGTTTTGTTGTGGATAGTGGTTGTGGTGTTGGTGTTAATGGGCATTTTATTTTTGCAGTGGTTTGCCTCTGTTGAGTATGTTCTTTTTAATGTAAAAATTTTTGCCCAACCAGATTTTATTGACAATTCCAAATGCTAATCAACTAAAACAAGAGCAGCATCAAGAGCAGCTACTACAACAACAGCAGAGTCAGCAGCAACAACAACAACAACAGCAGCAACAACAACAACAACAGCAGCAGCATCATAAACAACAACATCAAAACATTCCGGTTCATTTATCTACGTTATTACCAAACAAAACTGTCCACAAGTTGAATGTAACATATCACCCACTATCTCTTGGCAACTACTGCCTGGCATCTGCTGATATCTTTATTGCCAACAGTGTTGTTCATATTGTCTGTAGCAATGGTTAGTTGATGCTATTGATGCTTATGTATTTGGTGTTATAGTTGTTGTTGTTTTTTGTTGTGGTTGATGTTGCTGCCGATGGTGTTGTCATTCGTTTGAGCTCTAAATTTTATTCAACCATCATTTTATTAAAAATATTCCTCTCTTGATCCAATTATTTTTGTTGACCTATAATTCTTTTTCTTGTTTATTTCATATATTCATATAGATACTTTTGGTCCTTTTTCCTTCAGGACTGGCCTCTGGACTGATCCGCCTTTACAGCCTGACCCTGACGTCCGAAAACTACTTCCTCATCGGCAGCAACATCAGCAACATCAACACCAACATCTCCATCCAGTGTTTCTCTACTGCATCTTTCCATCTAGACTCTCCTAATTCTAATCAGGATTCTGGTTCAACTAATTTCCCGCAGCTAGGGGGGTCCACAAGTAGTGATGAGCGTTTAGATGAGAGTATCATTTGCACTAAGTACCTATCAGAGGATAGCCTGTTGCTGTGTTATAATAATGCCTCTTCTAAATATAGCAGACTTGAATTGTGGCAGTTAGTTGCACTCAACAGCAGTAACAACAACAACAATAATAATAATAATAGCAGCAGTAACAATCATCACAACAGTAATTACGTTAGTAATTTGACCTTTCAACTTTTTGAAAAGCTAAAGAGACCGAGCAGTGTCAACATGAGTAACGTTGTCAACATCAGCGTCGCAAAACGGTGGACGAAAATATCAACCCTGCAGCATGGCAGCTTAATTACTTCCGTTGCGACACCCAAGCTACCCGTTACGTCGTCGTCATCGTCATCGTCGTCGTCATCGTCGTCATCTTCTCAAAACTTTGGTTTCTATCCCCACGATGCCACATCCTTCTTCCAGTACATCTCCGTCTCTTATCTTGACGGCTCCACAAAACTTATCAACAGGCAATCATTTACACTCATGGCTACTACTCACTTAGATACAGGTTTCTGTCTTTTTCTTTTCGTTATTTGTCTTTCTCTCTCTCTCTCTCTCTCTCTCTCTCTCTCTCTCTCTCTCTCTCTCTCTCTCTCTCTCTCTCTCTCTCTCTCTCTCTTTCTCTCTCTGATGATAATGAATGTTTATTTGTTTATTTTTCCAGGCATAAATGATGACAAATGGACTAGTGACGGTAAGAAGATAGGCTCATCATCGTCGTCATCATCGATTCCATGCCTCATAAGCATGCAACAATCTTACACTGGTATGTACAGGGTTTGGGTAATTATAATTTTTAAATATAGTTCATTTTCTAACTTTTATCTCGTTTTGTTGTTATTATCACGTATCTTCTTTATCATATGAACCATTATTATTATATTTCATCATCATCTTCATTATCATCTTCTTCACACAGGCTGTGTTCTACTAGGCATAGATCAATTCAGCTGCATATACGTCATGAAGGTTATCAACACACGCGACCCCGTGACCCAGGTCACTCCAAACGTCATGACGTCACTGCTGGAGTGTTTAATCGTATCTGACGTTGATTGGTGGGATGTTTTGGCTGCTGTAAAGCCAAGTTGGTTTTCGCGCTTTTTGTCAATGTTTTCAACTATTTTCTTTTCATAACTTTTTTTTTATCATTTTTATAATTTTTTGGTTTTCTTCTTTTTTTCGCAGACACAGCGGAAGCGGTTTTGCAGTCAGTGAACCAGAACTACAGCAAGCAGTCCCACTACCTACAGGAGATGTACTGCACTAAGATAACGATGTTGAGGATACTGCTGTACAAACTGCAGTCTAGCTGCAATAGGGCAGGTGAAGATTATTGCAAGATGATGATGCTGTTGGTGGCTTCGCATTTGAAGGTGCTCCTCAAGAATAGGATGGTCAGTCCTAAGGAGATGGTTGGTTTTTAGTCGGTTTTGTTGCTGTTTTGTTGCTGGTAGCGCTGCAGTTGTTGATTTTGCAAGATTTGGTTCTTTCCATGTTGTCGTGTTATTTTTGTGGTCGTCATTTCTCAAGTTTCTATTATTACGTGAGATTTTTAATGAGTAGCTCAACTTTAATTTTCAAATGTCAGGATTGTTATTTTTAGTTGTTGCTATTCCTACCGCTCAAACCACCACTACAGTCAGTACAGGACAAGTTGTCGCACCTCTGCAAGACCAACGACGCGTTGGACGTCGAAGCCCTAGCCAACACGATAGCAGGAGGAGGGGATAAGAAATTTCACATAGCCCCGACAACCCTTAACTCCATGCAGTATCTAATTCAGTGGGTGATCGATCTCGTCATGTACCTCATTTGCAACCCTCTAGTCTTCCTCATCTACAATAAAATTCACCCCAAAAAAATGTCCCTGCAACAGCAGCAGCAACTTTTTTCAACTGTTAATGGGTTTAACTTGTTGAAAGATCCTCAACTACTCCTCTCCATCAAGGAAACTTTGCTTCTTGTAAAACTATGGAACCGCCTCCGTCCGAATAGTCTGCCTGAATACAATTTAGTCATCCCTAGCCATCCGAATAATACTGCCAACTCTTGGACTCCAACTAATTCGGAGAAATTCACCTACCTCTTCAAGATCATCTCCAAATTGTACGTGATTTCCAGGGATAAGAAGGATGTTGATGATCAGGTGGCCGATGAAGTTCTGCAGAGTTACGTTCTCAATGCCAACTACATGGTTCCACCGTTTGGAAAGTTCGATGTGGATATCCTTTTTGGTCCCTACTCAAACTCTCCGAATCAGGACTCCTATTATTCATCTCTCTTCTCTGACAACTTCCCACTGACGTTCAACTTCATGTACCCACAACCTAAAAATCGTCCAGAATCACTGGCTTTCAACAAACTCGATGGGAAAAACTCGAAACTAGAGAACCAAATCAAAATTCCAAAATTGACGTGGAAACGACCGAGAGACGGCCTCAGACACATGGTAATCGGTGACACAAGTGCCAAAAGAAGATGTACCAGATGCGATTGCCTCAACCTGGACTACAGTGCCTACCGCAAATTTAAAAACAAAACTAACAGCAACGTCAACAACAAGAGCAACACTAACAATACTAGCAACAACAATAACAACGTTATTACTAACTTGTCTGACGTAGAAGAAAGCATACCTAATGTTAATAATCAGTCGCCGGCCACTATCACCTGGGACTCTATGTTCATCTCCAAGTGCATCTGTGGTGGCATGTGGAGCCGCGACTAGCACGGAGTGGTCGAATTTCGTTCTGCCGCCGGAATTTTTTACAATAATTTTGTCGCGAGTAAACCTACTGTCGAAAATGTAACCATTTAACTTAAAATCCAACTCTCGGTATCACACATTGCGAAATTTTTCTCATTTCACCTCATTACCTTTCAACGTTTTAATTTCAAGTTTTCGATAATAATGAACATTTTCAAATAAATAAAATTTAAAAAGACAGATAGACATAGACAGACAGACAGACAAAACTTTTTTATTTGTTTAGTAAGTGAAATTTTTTGTACACTTTCATTTTTCTCGTTTAATTTTTTTTTTATTTAATATAAAACATACATGATTGTTTTAACCAAATTCATTTCTGCCAGTTAATAAGGATGAAGATTCTTTTAACTTTTTCATTCATTTATTTAATTAATATTAATTGATTTAATTAACTATTTAAATATATATGTATGCATGTATGTATGTATGTGTATATATAACGTTTTTGCGATATATCATCAAAGAAAGCAAACATGAAATGAACAAGACAAATAAGTAGTATCCACAACCAAAATCCATATTGAGAAAATGAAACATGATGAAAATAATAACAAATTATTATTATACAATTTATTATTTTATAATAATAAAATTAAATGAAAGTTATGATCGTTATCAGGAAAACTCTTGCCTGAAGTTAAATCAACGAAACAGAAGGGTACTATACTGAGCGTTGAGTGAATACATATCTATGTAGCTACATGTAATTACTAATCAGTAATTATTCCACAAATTATTGAATGATTAGTAATATTACTGATTATTAACAATTTATCAATAAAGTCTTGACTCCGTATTAAATGAAAAAGCATTTATCAATAAAATCTGGTTAATAATATAAAAAGTCAATGCTTATATCTTCAACAACTAGTGCATGCATGCATGTATTTCAAAGCATTATAATTTATAATTCACAATAAGTTATAATTTGGTTTATTACATTATTATTAATGTTATTATTATTATGATCCAATAAAATCCCATAACCAAGTTGAAATGAGTAATGAGATAAAATGAGGATAGATGAATGAATGAATGAATGAATGAGTGAATGAATGACGCATAGATTGAAAAATAAAGTGATAAACAAAACTAGAAATAAACAGAAAAATGAATAAACCGTGCATAGAATGCACACGGATGCATGAATGGATGGACATAATAATGAATTATGGATGAATGAATGAACGAACGAATGAAATTATTATCGTTAATAATAGCCATTATTCAGTTGTTAATAACCATATAAATGAATGGGAAATTTAACAAGTTAACACTCTGACGGCAACATCAAATGCTTCGACATTAACAATAATAATTAGTAATAATAATAAACAATAATAAGCTTGTAAGTGTGATGACATTGAGATGATGACTGACAATAACATTAATAACAACAAAAAAATTAATAATAACAATAAGAATAATAAAAACTTATAAACAATAATAATACGAATTTACATTGCTAGAAATACGAATTTGAAATGGCATTAAAAAAAGATTTTTAACGGCCAAATAATAATAATTATAATGATGAAAAAAACAATAAATAATAAAAATAATAATAAAATCAGAATGTCTTCCTGTGGATCACTTTGGCGCCATCATTTTCGTACTCTTTCTTCGAGACCCAGATCTTTTTGAAAGTGTCTAAAGAAGCTAAGATGGAACCTCTACACGTGTGTGTTTGTGTATGTGTGTGTGTTTGTATTTATGTGTGTGTGTGTGTGTAAGCGTACGTGTGTGTGTGTGAGTTACAACGTTGAATGATTGTTGCCTGAACGACGAGTGTCATAACAAAACAAAGCAAATGTATGATTAGTTAATTGTACAATTACGCGAACAGAAACACCGAATCAAAAATAAATTATAAATTTTTAGGGTAAAAGTGAATTTTAAATTATTTAAAAAAAAAAAATGAAAGACAAACCCAATCCAAGTTGAGAATAAACGCTCTTGCGGCGCTGAGATCTAGTGAGAGAAGGATGGTGAGAAAGGATTGCAGAAAGAGTAGTGATGAAAAAAAGCGAAAATATAACAACAACACATGTAACCATGAGACCGTGTGTAACTGCGTAACGACGTAGCTAACAAATTACAAATATAACAACATAGCCAGCAAAGATAACAAAAATGTAGCAAGGTACCGTGCATAACGAACTAGCTACGTGTATATGCAACACAAACTTACTCTAATTTTAGTACTCTTTGGAGCCAGTAACCTCATCTCATTGAGAAGTCTGTCGCCGAATCCTAATGAAGAAAAAGAAAAAAAGATTAAAATGAAATGTGACTTACATACTAAAATCATCCGTAACCATCATCAATAGCCAATAAAAACCGTAACCATCATCATCATTCAAACTATTAACCATCACCTTCATTATCATTTTTAATATAACTCTCATTAGCCCCATCATCATCTCCATTTAATAACCTTTGAAGAGGGTGGAGCCACCAGATAAGACTACATTGGAATAGAGCATCTTCCTAAGGTCAACATCTGACCTCTGTATCGCTGAGGTCAGTACCTCATGAATGCCTGTTGACATTATGAGTACATAAAAAGTGAACATTCAATTATGAATATTCATATGTGAATATCCAAATATGAATATTCAAATATGAATACTCAAACAGTTTTATACTGAATACCAAAACATGAATAAACATTTCTGCATTTCTGCTTGCATGATATGTAAAGACTCGCTTGCAATTGTCACACCAGCACAACTCAAGATTAGACACATAGCAGTATAAATAGATTGGATACGTACAAAAAGTGGTACATTGTAATACCTGGGTATTCCTCGCCCACTAGATCAGGACGGAAGAGTAGCTCGGGGGCGCGATATCTCGAAGAACCGACCTCTATGACTTGACCATCGGGCAGTTGGTACTGAACTTTTTCCGTATCGGCTGATTCCTCCTTCAAGGGACTTGTTGCCAGGTAACATATTCTCTGTTTTTTGTTGTGTGTGTTGCTGTGTATAAATCTTTTCTTAACGAATCTTAACTTCACTAAGCCACATATTTTTATAATCGTCGGATGATTTCAATTCACAAGACACCACAGCAAGACCAACCTCTTTCAATCCTTTCACAATTTCAAACTCGGCAGTAGTGTGAAAATCGAATCCTTCTTTCCTAAGTAGCAGCCTGAGGTACTTTGACACGTCCTTACCGGCAATATCTGACCTGAGAATGCTGTGTGGCAGGGCGTAACCCTCGTAGATCGGTACTGCGTGGGTCACGCCGTCCCCTGAATCGAGGACAACACCTGTAGTACGGCCTGTGGCATACCTGTGTGCAGATGTGTGCAAATTTGTGTGTTTGTGTGTCTGTGTGTGTGTGTGTGCAATATTATGCGTTATGAAAAAGTGAGTGATAGTAAATATATTCTGATATCTGACATGTTTCAATGGCAATTCTTGAAAACCAAACATGAACAAAGTAGGAAAATTGAAATGTAAAGATAGGAAAAAAATCTCTATCCACTGACAGACTGAGAACAGCTTGTAGAGATATATAGAGGGCCGGTGCATTGAATGTTTCAAAGAATATTTCAGCTGCCCTCTCTCGATTTCTTCTCGGATTCATTGGGGCTTCGGTCAATAGGACTGGATGCTGTAATTAGTATAAACATTATTACAACTATTTTTCCATCATTTTTTCAAATTTTCCATAAATTTTATTTATTGATGGGTTTTTCCACATTTCTGCAAATGATTATTACTGGCAAATCAAATTAAGGTAAAAAAAATGGTTTAGACTTCTACACTGAGTCAAGAGTTTTAATAAAAACAGATTTCTTACCACTCAACTCAAATAAAGTGTAATACAATACAAACTAGCAAGAAAGATAGTATGGAAAACCACTTTAACGCAAAAAATTCAAATGAAAAAAGATTTCCCACAACCTACTTAATGAGCTAGTGAAAAATTTTTATAAAGAAAGCACATATACCTCCTCAGAGAATGTGTACAGCTGTTCTTTGGAGTAGAGGTACTCCCAGATCTTTTCCATATCATTCCATTCTGTGATTATCCCATGTTCCATTGGGTATCTGATAGACAACAGGCCCCTATGCTCCTAAAGAAGTTGAAAAATTTGTAATTAAGACATCTTTTGTGTGTTCTTTTAAATATTTTTAGTCAAAATAAAGAGAAATTAATAGAAAAATATTGAACAAATACTGCAGGAAAGATACCTCAGCCTTGGGGCCTATGAACAGATCTCCTTCTAACGCCCCTGCCATTACACGAACGTGCTTTGGTCGGCCAACACTGAAATGTGTATGCACAAATATGAATATAATATAATGTTATTACAAACATCTTTTTTGCAAAAGAAAAAGAAAAACACTGACTAGTTAGGAAAATGACATTTTGGCATCTGATCACCAGCAAATCCAGCTTTGATAATGCCAGATCCCTGTCGTTACATTAGTTATTTAATTAAGTAATCAAACTTCCATAATTGAGCAGTGAAATTAATCAGATTTAATGATATAACTAATTAAAAAAATATAAAATAAATAATCAATTATTTTTGTGATGTGAGTCAATCTGATGACAATAAAAAATGTAACAAAACGTTAGAAAATGAATTTTAGCAAAATTTAAAAATCTAACATTATCTATGACTAAAGGTTGATTAGCTAAAACGCTGAAAGCATCCATTTCGCGGATCGCTAAATTAGGAATTTAGTAGAAATATGATGACAGAAAACGTCTAGCGAGAAGATACGTGTAATTAAATGGATGTTTTGTTGAAGGCAGGTTGTATTCTTAACTCACAATTGAAAGGTTCCTTGTGATCTTGTAAATCAAAACATCTGTTACGTCAATTTTATTCAAATCAAATACTCAAAATTGTTTAAAAATATAAACGTTATATAATAAGATTTTTTTGTAATTTTAAAAAATATTTCTCAATCTGTTATTTCCCACTATACTATAGTTATCAATTTATCATTCTCACCAACAAAATCTCAAAAACCATCACTAGTTTCATCATCAGCAACAACGATATTAGCATCATCAACACAAATATAATGTTTCCCAATCAATAAATATGCTTCTAAGCTTCTTAATACGATTCATTTTGGAAAAGTTTAATATCAATTGGTATATGAATTCATTTTCATTCACAACGGACAGTTGTTTGATGATGATAGTTCGATTTTTGTTAATTTAATTATGTCAAAAAAGTTTTAAAATGTAACGGTAGTTGTCGTTGTAGCATAATATTAAAACAAACACAGATGTTAAATGAAAAATGACGACAAAAAACAGCAGCAAATAAGCAAATGATGCTTTAGAGTTGATGTTAATCAATGTATTTCTCATTTTAGACACAGGTTTGAGTTCAGAAAGAATTTTGAATTATCTCGACTTTGTCAATAATTTTAAATCTCGAAACACTAATTATACCAGGTTCATCTTTGTCCTTAGAACATAAAAAAAACATCAAAATTCATCTTACTTCATGCGATGTCTACATATTTATCAATAAAATATTATGCTAGCGATATACATACACATATGCCTATGCATACTAAATTAAACATACAAACTACACGTTTAAAACACACATGCACACGTACATCAAAATGATGAAAAAATGAACTTAAAATTCAGCACATAAGGGCATAATAATTTCGTGAAAATATCGTTATATTAGCAATTTTTTAACTCGCTTTTCTTGCCATTGGACCACCCGTAAAATGAGTACACACCTAGAATATTTGAATTTGTGCGTTTGTGTGCGTGTGCGTGCATATGTGTGTGTGTGTGTAAATATACACACATATATATACCCATATAATATTATAAAGATCGTCATATCAACATGATTACAATAGCCAAGCCAAAGGTTTCATGGTTCTCGAACGTGTGCATGAGTTAAGTTCCTATATACAATTATCATGGTAATAAATGTATATATTTATATTTTTAATTATTACTAATATATATATATATATATATATATATATATATATATATATATATATATATATATACATGTGATATACATGTGTGTGAGTATAAGGCATTTATAAAGTAAATATAAGGCATATATATATATTTATAAAATATATATATATATATATATATATGAATATATATATATATATACGCTTTCAATTGATTAATATATAAGGTAGACTTTATTAGAGTATCGTCTATTTTTACCTGCCATTATCAAATTAAAAGTGAACTTTGCTTTGAGTGATCTTATTGATTTATTTTAAAATACCGGAATTGAATTCTTTTCAATTAAATTTTTAATAAATTTTTTTGAAGTTACCCGACTTTTAGCCGCCGGATTCGTTGTTTAGATCAGTTTAGCGATCTAACCTCTAGAAAAAATTTCTATTACTCTTTCTTTCACTTAAATTTTAATTTAAATTAAAATAACAATTTCGGCATTTTAGTTGATTTACAATTTTACATTTAAATTTGATTTAATAATTTATAATTAAAATTGGTTATAATTTTATTGCTCTACTAAATTACCGGACTATCAAAATGATTAGCAAATAGGTAATGCATAAATAAATCTTATATAAAATAGATAGAATATATATATGCTTTATAATTATATGGTATTAAAATTTAATAAATTATAAGAGGTCTTTGTAAACTGCACAAAATCTATGTAAAAATGATGAATTCAAAGCAATTGAGAACACTCTTCCTGAGATATTCCAACTGGTTATTGGTAACCTTCCTGATCACGTACATCTACTTGGTGGCCCTCTACATCCTCTACTCCAATCACAGTCGGGTTGGCCGATTCAGTGATGCGCACTTTGAAGGTGATGGCCGACATCCTGTCCACGAGCATAGTGATGGTGGCCAGACAGGAAGTGTACTGGATTTTAGTGACCCCGCACAGGTGATGATAATGGTGGTGGTTATGATGATGGTGATGATGCTTATGATGGTGATGATGCTTATGATGATGGTGATGATGCTTATGATGATGGTGTTTATGATGACGGTGGTTATGATGAGGATGATAATGATAATTATCATGATACAAATACTGTTAACAGGTATGGTGATACCTCATTTTAAAGTTTTACATTGTGAATTTTTTTTAATTTTGACAATTGTTTTTTTCGTATAAGTACTGGAGTATTGACTTTTAATTCTCTCTCTCTCTCTCCCTTTCTTTCTTTCTCTCTTTTTCGCTCTTTCTCTCTCTCTCTCTCTCTCTCTCTCTCTCGCTATATATATATTTATACACTTATAGGCAGTCTATTGATTCTCACTTTATAAAGATTTCATTAAGTTTTCTTTACCATATTTTTTCATCGTAAAGAAAGCCATAATTGTAATAATAATAGTTGTTGTTATTTTTATTGTTAATATATATATATATATATATATACATATATATATATATATATATATATATATATATATAATCACACATATGTTTCTAATTAAACTCTATTATAGTAAAAATAAAATTACTTTGGTTAAGATTGTGATGGTTATTTTATAGAAACAATGTTCTCTATTCTCTTTTATGTTTTTTTTTTCATTCAATCCATCCATCTATCCATTAAGATCTTCATCATCGTCTTCGTCGACGTCGTCATCATCAGTATTGTCACCCTACACCACTTCAAAACTTTAATTTGCTTTCAAAAAACAAGGAAAAAAATATTTTCTTTAACAAGTATAAGTATCAAAGACAAAGACTGTGCACGTGTGGGTGTGTGTGTGTGTTTGTTTGTGCGTGTGTGTGTGTGTTTGCATGTTACTATTTGTATTAGTATATTAGTAAAATTAATTTTTGTCTGCCAACCATGCTTTATCGATCTGAAAAATTATTTCTGTAAACGGATTTCTGTTATTTGACTGTTCATTAACTCATTCATTCATTCATTCATTCACTCAACTATCTATCTGTCCATCTCTCTTTTTATTTATTCATTCAATCATTCATTTACTTATTCATTCCTCATTCACTCATTCATTCATACATTCACTTTCTCGCTCCTTCACTCAGGTAATGAGGTACAGAAGGGAGCGTTATTACAAGGCCCAGTTAAGGCAGCCCAATGGCAAACCGGGGGAACTCGGAGAGCCTGTCTACCTAAATGAAGAAGAACAAACGAAAGCTGATAGGTTAGTATTTTGCAGAATGATGGAATGAATGATTGAATGAATGAATGAATGAGTGAGTGAGTAGGTGAGCGAGCGAGCGAGCGAGTGAGTGAGTGAGTGAGTGAGTGAGTGAGTGAGTGAGTGAGTGAGTGAGTGAGTGAGTGAATGAGTTAGTGAATGGATGGATGGATAAATCAGTGAATGAGTTGCTGGATGAAATGTCTTGTATGAACAGAAACAGAACAAACTGATATATGAATTAATTTGTACACCAATGGATGAATGAACAAAGTGAACAGTCGCCAACAAACAAATTTCACAATAATATTATATATTCTCTTTCTCTCTATATATATCCCTCTCTCTTTATTTCTTTCTCTCTCTTTCTCTCTCTCTCTCCCTCTCCAGCCTCTTCAGTAAGGAGACATTCAATGTAATAGTTAGCAACAAGATTGCCATGGACCGGACTCTAAGAGACGCCAGGCCGAACGAGTTAGTTGTGATGATAGTTTCGTAACGATAATAACAATAATAATAATAATAATAATAATAATAATGGTAATAGTAAGTTATAATAATTGTTTTTATTGTTAATAATTTGTCGTCTTCTATATAGCGTTGCGTGGGAAGTTTTTGTTGATGTTTGTTTGTGTGTTTGTTTGCGTGCGTGTGTGCGTGTGTATATATGTGTGTGTATAATGATGATGATGATGACGACGATGATGATGATGATGACGACGATGATGATGATGATGACGACGACGATGATGATGATGACGTTAAATAAGTTAATTATTACGACGACAAAACTCTCAAAGGCTTATGAATAAAATTGGGTTAAAGGTTAGTTAAAATGGAAAATATTTTTTAGAGATAAGTGTTCCCTGCGTATTTATACATCATCATCATCATCATCATCATCATCATCATCATCATCATTATTATTATTATTATTATTATTATTATTATTATTGCCGTAGTATCATCGTCCACGTCAGCAAACTTTTTTATTGATACACATCTATATATCTATGATATCTATCACTACTGCCTCATCATCGTCATCCTCTTATTAGTGATATAGTAGGGATGATGATAGTAATAATAATGATGATATGATGATGATAATAATGATGACGATGTTGATGATGATGATGCGCCATATGTCCTGATTGATTGATTTTTATCTCAAAGAAGAAGAGGAGGATGTCGATAGATGGATGCATCACAACATTTTTTTTACCTCTATTTTTATTATTTCAATTAAATTTACTCGAGAGAGAGAGAGAGAGAGAGCAAAAGAGAAAGGGAGGTAGGAGGTATAAAGATGAATACGTAAGCAATCACCGATGAATATCAAGTGATCTTAAAAAACAAAGTAATGCAAATAAATAAATAAATGTAATAATTTTTGAAACATAATTGAGAGTGAAAGAAAGTGAAAGAGAGAGAGGGAGAGAGAGAGAGAGAATGAGATAGAAGATAGTTGGAAAATGTTGTATAAATAAATAGATTGAACGTGCTGTAAAGTTGTCTGCATGAGAATAGAGGAAAAGAAAGAGAGAGAGAGAGAGAAAAGAAGATGTGGATGAAAAGAAAGAGGCCATTATTACGACCCCAGACAAGCTTCAATGATATTTCGTTACTGAGTTGTTAATTTTTTTCCATTTAAAATCACGTTGTGCTGACTTGTAGATGAATTTTTATTGCGTTATGGATGGATGGATGGATGGATGGGTGGATGGGTGGATGGATTGATATGGATAGATGGATGGATGGGTGGATGGATGGATGAATGAATATTGTTTTTCTTAATACGCACCATTAGCTGTTGTTGCGTTATCGTTCGTTCCTTATCTTTTCAATCATTTGTTTATTCTTTAATCCACCTACATTCATTCATTCATTCATTCATTCATTCATTCATTCATTCATTCATTCATTCATTCATTCATTCATTCATCCATTCATTCATTCAGTCTGTCTTTTAATGTTAGTAATCTCTTGAAGTTGATACTTTTGGCGTTGAGTGATTTATCCGCGGTTCGTTTCTTCATTCCTTCATTCCTTCATTCATGTGATTCGTTCGTTCGTTCATTTTCTGAGTATTCCTTCCTCTCCACTTCTCTTTGTCATCTTATGTATTGACATGATGTTTTTGTTTAATCTCATTAACTCACGTACTCACGCACATGTTCGTAACAAAAAGAAGCAAGCTGGAAGGCACTTCATAACTCTCCTCCTTATTATATGGGTTACTCTTACTTGCGTGTAAGCCATCGTTCACTTCTTTCTGCCTCGTCGTCGTCGTCTTCATCGTCTGTCTTATCAGACGTCTTTGTGAATGAATGAATGGATGGATGGATGAATGAATGAATTAATGAATTAATTAATTAATGGGTAGATAAATTTAATGGATGGTCAGATGAATGGGTGGATGGATGAATGAAACTATCTGTCGATTAATGGATAATTAATTGTATGAATGAATGAATGGATGAATGAACGAATGAATGAATGAATGAACGAACGAAAGAATGAACAAACATTTTCAATAGGTGCAAATCCCAAACTTACCCGACAAAGCTCCCGAACGCGAGTGTCGTCATCGTCTTCTGTAACGAAGCACCCAGTGCTCTTCTAAGGACTGTTCATAGCGTTGTTAATAGGTTGGTTGGTTGGTTGGCTAGCTGGTTGGTTGGTTGGTTGGTTGATTTGTTGGTTGGTTGGTTGGTTAATTGGTTGGCTGGTTGGTTGCTTGGTTGGCTGGTTGGTTGGTGGGTGGGTTGGTTAGTTAGTTGGCTGGTTGGCAGTTAATTTTTTAGAGTACTTTTTTCTTACATTAGTCACCTAAAATTTTTAAAAGTAAACATCAGTTCAGACATTCATTCATTCATTCACCCATCCATTCACCTATCCATTCAATCATTCATTCATTCATTCATTCATTCATTCATTCATTCATTCATCCATCCAAAGGTCGCCTCCGAATTATCTTCACGAAGTTATCCTCGTTGATGACGCCAGCGAGAGACGTAAGTGACGATGGTGATGATAGCAATCCGAATAATAATAATATAATAATAATAATTATTATTATTATTCTTGTAATAATAATAATAATTATTATTATTTTTATTATGATTTCCACCATTCTTACCTTCACATTTCTCCTTTGTTTCCACTCAAAATTGTAGACAGCCCGCTACCAAGTGTTGAATTAGCTAGGCGTGAATGCGATTCATTTTCAACCCTAAAAAAAATGTTTATCATTGTTGTTCTTATTATTTATTATTATTATTATTATTATTTATTATTATTATTATTTATTGTTATTATTTTTCGAACAACCAGAGTGCTGTATGTGGGTTTTCGTTTTAAATCTTGAAGCCAACATTTATTGTTACCATTAGTGACACGTTAAATAAATAAATAAATCTTCCTCTTTTTACTTCTATTATTGTCGTTTAGTTTGTTTGTATGTGTGTGTGTTTGTGTGTGTGTTTGTATGTGTGTGTGTTTGTATGAATGTGTTTGTTTTTTTGTTCGTGTGTTCATTCATTCATTTACGTTCTAATATATTATTTAGCTGGGATAAAAATAGTTTGATGTTTATACTAGATAAATGAATGAATGGATGGATGGATGGATGGATGGATGGAGGTATAGATGGATAGATGAATGAATGAATAAATGAATTTATGAATGAATGAATGAATGAATGAGAAAAGTAGAGAAAACGAGAGAAAAAAGAAGGAGAGAGAGAGGGAAAGAGAGAAAGTGGGTAAAAAAGCTAAATTATACACAAACAACTGAGTGTGGGAGAATGTTTCATTAAAAATTAAAGCAATTATTATATCATTTAGAACGATGCTTTTCTTATCAGCAGACTATTATCATCACTACCACCATAAACATCATATTCATCATCATCATCATCTTCGCAATCATCACTACCACCATAAACACCATCATCATCACCATCTTCGCAATCATCACTACCACCATAAACATCACCATCATCACCACCAGCGGAAGTTGGGCCGGAATTGGATGAGTATGTTTCTAGAGTTTGGCCTGACGGTCTGGTGAAGATAATTCGATCGAAGGAGAGATTAGGACTGATTAGGGGAAAAATGAAGGGGGCTAGGGCGGCCACTGGGGATGTGCTGATTTTCTTAGATGCTCATTGTGAGGCCACGTTCATGTGGTTAGGGTTTTGTGATTTGATTTGATTTGGTTGTTGTTCAGTTCATTGGTTGATCATTCATTCGTTCATTCATTCATTCATTCATTCATTCATTCATTCATTCATACATTCATTCATCCTTTTATTTGTTTATTTTCTTTCATTCATATATACATTTGTTCATTCATCCTTTTATTCGTTCATTCATTCGTTTATTCGTTCATTCATTCGTTCATTCACTCGTTTATCCATCCACCAATCCATTCATTATTCAAAACAGGATCGAACCAATCCTAACACGGATATCTCAGGATCGGACGATTGTAATCTGTCCCATGATAGATTCCATCAGCGACAAGACGCTGCAGTATTTTTACGGGGGTGGTGTGGCCGTCGGTGGCTTCACGTGGTCCCTACATTTTACGTGGAGAGGCGTCCCTGAAAGAGAAATGAAGACGAGAAAGAGTTCTGCCGATCCTGTCAGGTGGGTGGAGTGTTTTTGGCCGCTGCTTGTAGCGTGTCGTGTGGGTGGGTGGAATGTTTGGTGGTGTGTGTTCATCTGGCATTCCTTCATTAAGTGCGGTCTGTCGTGTGGTGTGTGTGTGTCTCTCTGAAAGTTTATAACGATTGTGAGATTATCATTTTCATCATCACCGTCATTTCCACTTTCAACTCCACCATCTTTCATTTTGTCATCATCTTCGATTTCTTTATCAGCAGCTGCTGCATCTTCTTCTTTTTCTTCTTTTTCTTTTCCTTCTTTTTCTTCTTTTTCTTCTTGTTCTTCTTCTTCTTCTTTTTCTTCTTCTTGTTCTTCACTATTCACTATTATTATCATCATATTTCTCCTCCTCATCATCATCTTCGTCTTTCTCCTCCTCCTCCTCATCATCATCATCTTCCTCCTCATCGTCATCATCCTCACCATCAGATCTCCAACGATGGCTGGCGGGTTGTTTGCAGTGGACAGGTCGTACTTTTTTGAACTCGGGGGCTACGACCCAGGGATGGACGTATGGGGGGGCGAAAATCTGGAAATCTCGTTTAGGGTTTGTAGGAATGATGGTGATAATGATTATGGTGACGACGATGTGATGATGGCGATGATGATTGTGGTGATGATGATGATGATGATTGTGGTAGTGATGACGATGATGATGGTGATAATGATGATGTTGATTGTGCTGGTGATGACGATGATGATGTGATTACTTCGCCACCATCATCATTATCGTTACAGACATGGATGTGTGGTGGTTCTCTGGAGTTCCTTCCATGTTCTCGTGTTGGCCATATATTCCGGGCGGCACATCCCTACTCATTTTTACGTAAGTCCACTTTTAACTTTTCATTATTTCTTTCACTCTTTCACTCGCTCATTCATTCATTAATTCATTCCTTTATTCATTCATTCCGTCATTCGTGCAGAAAAAGACACACATGGTTTGAACTCGAAAAGGCTGGCCGAAGTTTGGATGGATGACTATAAGAGGCTGTACTATATTCATAGGTCTGATTTAATGGTTGGTTGAGCGAATGAATGAATGAATGAATGAATGAATGAATGAATGAATAAAATTGAATATATATGTATGTGTGAAAAAATGAATGAACTGAAAGAGGAATAAATTCCTAAACGAAAGAACGGGTGATTAGCTGAGCGAACTATGGAATGGACGAAAGAGCTAATGAATGTACGGACGAACGAATGGATGAACGAATGAATGATTGAAAACAAACAAACGAATGAATGAATGTGGAAGAACGAATGAATGAACGAACGAAGAAATGATTGAACAGGACAAAGACGCTGGGGACTATAGCGACCGTGTGCAGCTTCGCAAGCGTTTGAACTGCAAGTCCTTCAAATGGTACCTCGACAACGTCTACCCTGAGAAGTTCATTCTTGACGAGGGTGTTCGAGCTTATGGCATGGTGGGTCGATTTGATTGGTTGGCTGATTGACTGGTTGATTGATTGATTGATTGATTGATTGATTGATTGATTGATTGATTGATTGATTGATTGATTGATTGATTGATTGATTGATTGATTGATTGATTGATTGATTGATTGATTGATTGATTGATTGATTGATTGATTGATTGATTGATTGATTGATTGATTGATTGATTGATTGATTGATTGATTGATTGATTGATTGATTGATTGATTGATTGATTGATTGATTGATTGATTGATTGATTGATTGATTGATTGATTGATTGATTGATTGATTGATTGACTGATTGACTGATTGATTGACTGATTGATTGACTGATTGATTGACTGATTGATTGACTGACTGAATGACTGACTGATTGATTGGTTGGTTGGTTGATTCAATGATTGGCTGGTTGATTGATTGACTGAAAAAAATGGCAGACTGACCGACTGACCAACTGACCGATTTATCCAACTGACCAACTAATCAACATCATCGTCCTCATCATCATCATCGTCGTCACCATCATCGTCGTCATCAGGTGCAGAATCCTGCCACTGGTCTATGTTTAGATACTCTTGGAAAGGATGAAAAGAGTCAGTTCAATCTCGGAGTGTTCTCATGCCAGGGTGGAAAGAGCAGCAGTGAGGTAATGATTTATTGATGGATCGATTGATGGATGGATAGATGGATTGGTGGGTGAATGAAAGAATGAATGAATGAATGCATGAATGAATGAATGAATGAGTTTTCGACTGGTTGAATATGTTATTAAAACGCAGAATTTTGAAGTTTTATGACGAATGACTTTTTTTAATTGCGCCCAACTCTGAAGAAATGATTTCTTAAAAAAGTGACACACACATACACACACACACCCAAACAGACTTGAGTTTAATTCATCACGTATGCTTTTAATTATTATCTCGGAGATGCAACAAATAATATTTTTATTTGAAAATATGCAAATGCACAGAACATTTTAACCAAGCTGCTTTCATCTTTATTTCTTTTTGTCATTTTTTTCTTCGATGCGCTCATCCATCATTCTATTCATCATCATCGTCGTCGTCGTCTCTTAAATCACCATCTTCATCATCATCTTCTTCACATCATCATTTTCACCATCATCATTTTAACCATCATCATCTTCACCATCCCCATCATCATCCTCTCCACCACCATCATCATCGTCATCGTCATCATCGTCGCCATGAAGGTCTTCTCCTACACGAAAACGAACGAACTGAGACGGGAAGATTTATGTGTAGACGCCATCGGCAGGGCAGATGTCTCCGTCACCTTGACCTTCTGCCACGGTCACAAGGGCAACCAGGAATGGATCTATGACAAGGTCATTTGTCATGATGATGATGATGGTGGTGGTGATGATGATGATGATGATGGTGATGATGGCGACGATGATAGTGAAGATAGTGATGATGATGATGAAGATAGTGATGGCGATTATGATGGTGATGATGACGACGATGATAATGAAGATGGTGATGAAATTTAATTTAATTTTTAAAAAATGATAAAAATAAGAAATGCATGGGATTTCCATTCACGATAACGAACTCTACAAATGTTAAACTTGATCGCTTTCATCGTCTTCATCGCCACCATCTATCATCATCATCAGCATCACCTCTTCTAGCTATCACCACCATCATCATCATCATCTTTCACCTCGTCTATCTATCACCACCATCATCATCATCATCATCACCTCGTCTATCTATCACCACCATCATCATCATCATCATCACCTCGTCTATCTATCACCACCATCATCATCAGCATCACCTCATCTAGCTATCGTCACCACCACCATCAACATCAGCATCGTCGTTATCTTCACCGTCCACTTAATAGGCAACTAAACAGATCAAACATTACACGTTGACCGTCTGCTTGGACGCCAGGGACCTGAAAAATAGCGATACCGTTAAACTTCAGCAATGCGACGACAGCTCCATCACTCAGAAGTGGACACTGGAAAAAGAGCTAGACATGAATTAATTCATTTGTGAATTAATTCATTCGTTTATTTTTTCATTCTTTCGTTCGTTCCTTCCTTCGTGCATCTGTTCAATCCTTCGTTCATTAGTTTATTTCGTCATTTGTTTGTTTATTCATTCATTTACTCTTTGATCTATTGACCCACTCGTTCGTTCAGTTATTCGTTTACATTTCTTCATTCAATCATTTATTCATTCCTGCAATCATTCCTTCGTTTCTGCGTTCACTCATTCATTTGTTCGTTCGTTCGTTATTTCGTTCGTTCATTAATTGAAAGCTGGTTGTGCATACTTGAATTAGTTGAGTTTATTTTATAGATAGGCTATTTCACGAGTGAATGAATGAATGAAGGAAGGAATGAGTGAATGAATGAATGAATGAATAAAATAGTTTGATGAAAGATAAGTATATAATCCGAGAACTCAATGACTGAAGAAGAATGTCTTCAAATGAATTATACTTAACATGTGATTCTATTATTATTATTGTTGTTGTTGTTGTTGTTATTATTGTTGTTGTTGTTGTTATCACCATGTAAATTATTATTATATATCGTTCAATCAGCTAATATATATATATATTTATTTATTTATCCATTGAATATGATTTCTCAGCTGTGGCAAATTCTTTATTTATGATTTGAAATGGCCTTCTGCTTAATACATATATATATATATATATATATATATATATATATATATATATATATATATATATATATATATATATATTGTAAATAATGGTTATTTATTTTAACGGCAATTTTGTTAAGTTGTATTTAATTTCATTATTGATAATTTGTTTTATTGAAGAATTATTTTTATAACGAAAGACAACGATGAATGAATGAATGATTGAATGAATGAATGAATGAATGAATGAATGAATGAATGAATGAATGAGCGAATGATTGAATGAATGAATACGTAAATATGACTATATGTCACTTCTATTTATTTATTTGTCCCTAATTTCACGATATACTATATAACTCACTCACTTAATTTATGCAGCTTAGGCAATAATTGAAACTAATTTGTATTTAGTACTACATCTACCGACACACACACACACACACACATATATAAATATATATATATATATATATATATATTGAATGATGATTTGATTGATAATCTACCTTTAAAAGCAAATAATAAGGTTAGGATCAGGGCTGTGACGTCTTAAAACAACATCTCGTCTCGAGACGAGTTTTATACCGTCTCGATCTTGCCTCGAGACTTCAAAATGTTAGTAGTTTTGGCTTTGTCTAATTTTTTTACTGTCTTGATATGTCTTGAAGAAAACACGTAGATAGGAAATTATTTTTCATAGATACAAAGTTTTAAACTATTTTTAATAAATTCTTCTATAAGCATACATTAAAACATACATTAAAACATACATAAATACGTGATAGAAACACTGGTGCGTACACCACACATGTAAAAAACAAATTCCTCGTTCACAGTGCTTGCTGTGTTATATCTGGTAATGGTTATTTAAAAGTATTGTCACAGCCCTGGTCATGGTATGACTTTGTGGAACGACAAGTATATGTGGCTCATTGTTCTAATTGTATGTACACATACATATTTTGTATGCATATGTATGTACGTATTCGTTTTTTATGTGTGTTTACGTTCGATCCATTCCTTCATACTGTAATATATACATATATATATATATTGCACATGTATGTACGTGTAGAATGTAAACCATGATTAAGATGACGATTAAGATAATTACTGAGAATGTTTCACGTGATGGCTGTATTGTACTGCACTTATGCTTTTGTTTGTACTACCAATATGCTGATTTGCAGAGGTATTTATAATTTATATTCTAGAAAATGATTTATAGTTTATTTTTTACGTTCGTTCTTTGTTTTAATGTGTAGTTTGGTTGTTCTCAAATGCGTGTGCATGTGTGGTTGTCCTGTATGTGTGCGTGGTTACGATTTCACACACAAGTTTCAAGTTGTATACATGAGAGTGATCAAAGAGCACATATCCTTATGAAGTTAAATGTGTGAATTTATTTTTAACGTCATTAATGTTTGTCGTTTCTGATGAGTTTTTTTTTAATTTGTAAAAAATTTTAAAACACGTCAACGCCCTTGCCTTGTTGAAAACAAAAAAAATTAAATAGAAAAACGATTTATGGTTTAACTGTGACACAAAACAACGAAACAAAACTCCTCCTTTATCTGTTGTAGAACAATTTCAACAATTTCCTATCACTTTGGATGATATATAAGACTTTGATTTATGATGAAACAAAGATACATAATTAAACAAAAAAAAAAAAAAACAAAAAAAAATTATTCTTCTAATCACTGTGAAGTGCTCTACTACAAATGAGTCATCCTTTTTTGAAACAGTCCAGCACATGTTTACAAAGAAGAGGTAGCACTCTCGGTGCTTGTCAATTCCGTACTGTCTTTGGCCGGGAACGCCTGATTATCATCTATGTTCTGATTAGGATCAGTTGGTTCTTGATTAGGAGATGATGGGGCACGAACATGTGGTGGGGTCGATGGTGTTGTCTTTGCCATTGCCTCTGTCATCTCATATTTTGAAAGCTTAATATCAAAATGGTATACATATAGATAATGAAACAATTTAAAGTAACTACATTTAATTAAACAATTTATAAAAAATAAAAAGTGATTGAATATTAACTAATTATAATAAATTATTAATACTAAATGACCCTGACCTTACTGACGACATCGATATGCTCTTCCTGCAGTTGAGCATACCTCACCTTTAACTCACAGAGCTCGAGTCTGAGAGCTTCCAACTCGACGCTTTCTGATGATTTGCCAAGTAGGTGTTGTCTCAAAAAGCTGGGATGAAGAATTTATAAAAAAAACATTGTAAAAATACTTTTAAAATATTACAAAAAAACAATGAATTTAACTTTATATTTATATGTTGATTTATTTTGGCAAAACAGAAATTAAAAAAATGATCTCACTCCAAGGCATCATCTGGTTTTTCTGGTTCTTCATATAGGCTCACCAAAGCTGTTTATTGAAAAATTAGTTTTTCAATACCAATTAATTAAATCTTTACTGAAAATGTGTTAAAAATATATAGCGAAATATGGTGAAAAAAGGTTTTCATCAACTAAAAGATGGCAATTAATAACAAATTATAAGTTAATTAGACATATTTATAATTTATACGACAGAGTTTTTTATGACAGAAACCTTTAGTTAGAACATCCATGATTCCAACTTTTTCTAAATACTTTCTGAACTCCTCTTTTTTGGAGTCAATAGGCTGAAAACAAATTGAAATAAAGTTAGTTTGCACTTTGTATGGAGCTTGGGACGTAATTGATGATTAATTTTTCAAGACCTCAAAGGTCAAAATGAGAAAATTAAATTTTAATTCTAAAAAATCCTATTATTTAAATTTTGATGTAGTTTTTTTTGTAGGGTAGAAAATGCTGAAAACCCAGGTTTAGAATTAGTGAAAAAACTGCACAAAACCCGGAAATAATCCAAAAATAATTTTAATATAAAAAAATGAAACATTTTCAGACGAACTTTGAAGGAAGTCATTCTTCAAAACTACACTAATTAGTGAAAAATTACAAAATTTCAACTAAATTAGAACCAACAACACGAAAAGGTGGTAGAAGACTCCAGATAAGAAAAGATTTATTGGCCTTAGCAACCGTTGCCATGTACACAAAGTTAGAGCAACACACGCGCTGAATAAAACTTGTTAAAAACATTTTTGCTCAAACTCTGAAACTATTTAGTTGAATTTGATTAATCACTAATTGAAGCTAAAAGAGTTGTAGACTTTTAACATGATTTTCAGCGTGATAATTTTTTACAAGGCAATTTTTTGGCTTTGTTATCCACGTTAGTGTTAAAAATTGATAAGAAAAGTTACGCAACTGTTAGGAAATGAAAATTATTTATTTAAAATTTCAAAAAACCTGAACATTTATAAAAAGCTTTGGCGTGTTTTATTATTTAGAAATCTTTTTGGTTTGAAAATAGAGACGTTAAAATTTGATTTTTACTGTTTACGTAAGTGTACAACAGAGTTTTTTGATTACTCTGCTCCTAAACAAAATCTTTAAAACATGCTAATTAAATAAATAACTGTCTGTTAAATTGGAGAGTTCAAAATGAACAAAAAAAAAAATCGCAATAAAAGATTCAAACTATCAAATCCAGCAGATGACGATGAACCGTACTTGGGTTATTCATTAGCCAAAAGTAGATCAAAGTTGAGTTTCGGTGGTCTGTTCAGAGCCATTGTAATAATCGTTCTGACTCTCATAGCTTCGAGTATAATCATCTGCGGAATTTTGATAGTTGCCCGTAAATTTAGTGAAAACGTGGCTGACGACGAATATGAAATCGGTGAAGATATGAGCACCGATTCAAACTCTACGGAAAAACATTTGTCAAAAATTAAACACATGTCATGCTATCAATGCAAGAATTGCGACGAGAATCTTGGAGTTCCTATGAAATGCCCCGTCAAAGATTCATTGTGTGCTTTCAAGCTTGTTAAAAAGAAATCTAAAGGTGAATTTTTTGGCATTATTATCTCTCATATAATATAAGTTAATTTATTTGAAAAGTCTACATTAGTTGTTAAGCAAACTTAAAATTTAAAATTGAACATAATAGTTTGGATGTCAATAAGATACTGCGAGACGAACTGGACTCGTCAGCTTGGATGTTCGTACCCGAAAGGCGAGAAGGTGTGCTACTGTGAAGAGCCAGGGTGCAACGGCAGGTCAATGTCGCAATTGGAGGAGGTTTCTTCCAGCATGCAGAGAGTCGACATGGAAAATGATGAGGAATTCAAAAAGCTGAAAGAAGAAGTTGGGAAAAGAAATAGCGTACAAAGATTTAAGAGAAGTTTGGATAACAAATCAGAAATAAGCGTTCCCTTTAATGAACTGCCCGTAGATGAGCAGGTGAAATTAGCAATGGCCGTCATGGAGAAAGATAATTTAACTGAAGAGCAGAAAATGACGCATATCATGAAATTCTACGAAAGTGAGTACAGAAGAAAAATTTTTAAGGCGAATAACGATTCCGATTTTATCAGCTCCAATGATTTCGAGCGAGTTATGATGCCAGAATACTTCAAGAGTCCGACAAATGACCTATCAGACGAGATTTTACTTCAAAATCAGGAAGAAAATCATGGAAAGATAGTAAGACAAGTCGAAACATCAGCTGATAAAAACGACGAGAATCAATTCCAACATGGAAACTTGTTTTTTGGATTGAATATTTTTAGAAAGGATAAGCAAACAGCTCAAAAGTCTGTTAACAGAAAGGAAACTAATGAAAAAAGTCTGCCCGGTAAAAGATCGGTCGACACAGGAAATAATAAAATAGACCGTTACATGATCGTTTCTAATCTGGATCGGGACAGTGATTATATCGTTCCTGAGGTTGATAACGTCCGTGTCGATGGGAAGAATCTTATTTTGCCGGAAGCCGGCAGGAACCACTATTTTATTGTCCCAAAGTCGTTAGGAGAGTTGAAATCTCAAGAAGCTAAAGAAATTTAAAGTGTCGTACAAAGACGATTCACGAAACAATATTAATTTAATTTTTCTTTAAACTTTTGGAATTTTCTTGTTACGTGTCAGTAACTTTTGAATTTGAGTTGTTGGTATTTTAATTTTGAAAAAATTTCTCAATAAATTTCAAATCCTCATATTTTTGAACGAATTGGCATCTATTAATAGGTTTCACGCTTCAATGCACATGTACGAATGAAACACCTGAGTTTTGTGGAAGTTTACATTTAAATGTGAATATCCAATTAAACACCTGGGCACCTGTAGTGTTCAAACTTGTAAAAATCAAAATGCTGATTTAAAGTGTAATCGTAATTGTTTTTTAAATTCTGATTATTTTAAAATGGCAAAAAAATATCCAAAAACATTTTTTGTCTTTGCGGCTTTTATGTTGTTTCTCATGCTTTACACGCTGATGAGCTTCACAGAGATGTACCACATATGGTCCTACGATGATGACGAGGCACACCTTCTCGTAAGTGCGTCCTCTCACGAAAAGATGGTCTTATTAAGAGGAAAAGTTACTGGCCGGTGTTCAGTGAAAAGGAAGTCACTGGTTTACGTCAAAATGATAAAATGTGCGAGCTCCACTATGTCCACGATATTGAGACGGTTTGCACTGAACCACAATTTAGAAACAGCAACGCCGATAGATGGCAGAATATACATCGGCTGGCCCTACCAGCCTAAAATTAGTCACATATATCCTTCATTCAGTGGAAGGTTTGGCATCTCGTGTGAGCATGTCGTCTACGATCGTTCGTTTTTTAAATCAATTATGAGTCCAGATGCAGTTTACACAACGAGCCTTAGACAGCCGTACAGTCAGTTCAAATCCTTAGTTAACTATTACAACGTTCTTAACATATCCAACGTACCTCAGTTCAGTGATCAGGTTGTTCTATTTCATTGCTAGTCGCATTATTTTGATCAATTTTCAAAACAACTTTCAACATTTTAGAGCATGTTTTCTGTAAACAACTAGATTTTGAACCTCATAATGAAAATATGTTAGGCTAGTTTTATTAAAATAATTTATTTACAAATATTTTAAACAAAATTAATGAACAAAAAAAACATTATGAAGGCCTCAAGGTTTGCACATTACGTGAAGAACCTCGAGAAGTATGACAACATCTACAAACTGCCCACTTCAACACTCAGGTACTGTGTCCCTGACCACTTCTCCATGACCAAGAATCTGATGGCCTTCAATTTGGGCTTTCCATATCTATCAGGGTTCAGTTAGTGAATTTTGAATTCTGTAAAAATGTAGACACCAACATTTATTTATGATGTGTCAATTAAAGATACCAGTGAAGATATGTTTAAAAGTGAACAAGGTAAGGAAACCTTGAAAAAGTTTACGAATGACTGGATTGAGAAGATGAAAAAGGAATTGGACCTCGTGCTATTGCAAGAATACTTTTTCGAATCATTAATCCTCCTAAAGAGAAGAATGTGCTGGAGTTTCACGGATGTGCTCTTTCTAACAATTAACAGTCAAGAATATGCTTACAAGGTTCCTACATGTTTTGTATGTATGCGTATGTATGTGTTTGTGCATTCGCGTGTTTGGGTACGTACATATGAGTATGTGTATGTGTATGTACATACCTCTATGTGTATATGTATGTGTATGTACATACCTCTATGTGTATATGTATGTGTATGTACAATACGTCTATGTGTGTATTTATGTGTATGTACATACCTCTATGTGTATATGTATGTGTATGTACATACGTATGTGTACATATGTGTATGTGCATGTGCAAATTATAATGTGAATGTTTTTCTTAAATTTTTATTTTTTAACTACTTATCCAGAAAAAATCCGAGCAAGACGCGGAGCTAGAGGCCATATATAAAGAATGGAGTCAGGTTGATTACCGGCTCTACAACGCATTCAATGAAACTTTTTGGGAGAAGATCAGTCAGCAGAAGGATGGTTTCCGGGACGAAGTAGAGGAACTTAAAAAAGTATTTGTGACGTCATAATTACGATAATGATAATAATAATAATAAATAATAACAATAATAAATATATAATAATAATATTAAATATCTATCCCAGGTTAATAAAGCAGTCAATGAATTTTGCTCTGGAATAAAATCCAAAAAATTTAACAAGAGAGGAAATACAAATAGTAGTAGTAGTAGTAATAGTAGTAGTAATAATAATAATAATAATAATAATAATAGCGAACAGTTGTTAATAGAAAAATCGAAATTCAATGACCAAGAGTTAGTTCTAGATAGGTTAGCCTGTTCTCGTTTCGAAGACTGGTATCAAAGAGACGCCTTCCAGAGAATATATTTGACTAGAAACTCTACTGCTAAAAAACAAGATATTACTGTTGAGAGGTTTTGTTGAGTTAAATTGTGTTTGTTTGTTTGTACGTGTGTGTATATGTGTGTGTGCTCGTTGGTTTGTGTGTGTATGTGTGTGTTTGTGCGTGTTCGCATGTTTGTATGTGTTTGCATATTTAAAATGTACCTGCTTTTAATAATAATTTCATTTTTACAGAGCATAAATAACGCGACAGTTTAGCTCAAATTTTTTATATTACGACTTTTCTTCAAACTTTTAAACATTTTTTGTTTTAACTTTTGTTAGATATCTATACGTATGCGTGTGTGTGCGCGTGTGTGCGCGTGTGTTTTTTAAAAATTATTTGATATTATCATATTTTTGGCTATTATTTTTACTCTGTCCTATGTTTATTTATATGTCTACATATAAAATTTTTGAAGGTTTTTTCTTATATTTTCAGTTTTTTGCATTGCTATCTGCATAGTTTTGATACATTCGCAATGTTAACGAGTCTACTAGATGATATTATTTTCTACGTTAAGTTTTATTAAAAACGTTGATGAATTTTTTTCTAATTTAGAAACTTTGGTGCAGCGTTCTTTTTTTAAACGTTCAAATAAAAAATGGATGAGATAATTTGCTGGTGTAATTTTAAGATTTTTCTGAACACAGAGATGCGAAATTCGGCGTAACGTTAGCTTAACACGGAAACAAACACACAAACAAACACACACACACATACAAATAAACAAACAAACACCACAAACATTATAGAATAAGAATTCTAATTCTCTTATTATTTTGAAATTATGAAATTTTTTTAACCGATTTTAAATATTCTAGGTTTTGTTTGTTTCTTGTTTTATTTTCTCGTCTACAAACGTTCATAATTCAGTTATAAGTCCAAATGTAATTTATTCAACGAGCCTGTGGCAGCCATACAGTCAGTTCAAATCTTTAGTTAACTATTAGAACCTACTTAACGTATCTAGCATACCTCACTTCATCATCAGGGTCATTGATATGCTTTTAATACAACTGTTAACATTATAGAGCATATTTTCTGTAGACAATCAGATTTTAACATTATAATAAAAATATTAAAAATTATAAAATTGGAAACATAACGCAACAAAGTAACGTAAAAAATGTATAGTCATCGTAGTCAAAATAATTAACCGACATTTTTCTCTACACCTAGACCACTTTTTGTAGTTTTTCTTCGGCGTTTCATACTTCTCAAAGTCGTTTCCGAAACTTTTGTGGTGGCAGAGGTACCATTTAAACGAATTTTTTTAACACGAACCGTAAAATTTACTCGACTGTGATGCAATTTTTTTGTAGATTTCGACTTCACCTTCTTTATATTTTTAATTTCGTCTATGAGCACCGACTGATTTTTATAACTCTTCGGTTCTCCTATCTGGACGATAGCTTCTTTCGTAGCTACGTAATAGGAGTATAGGAGATCCGTGTTGCAAGCATCCGTTGGGCAGACACAGGTAATAGTGATGGGATATTCAAGCGGGTTGTCGACGAATAGACACGTGTTTGGTATCGAGTCGGATATACAGAATCGATCTTTCACCAGTTTGCGCTCCGCTGCGTTTGGATGTTTTATTTAAAATTTTATTTTTGTTGTTTTTAAGTTTATTATTGATAGTGTTGCTGATTTTTTAAAATATCTTGTTTAAAAGTTGAAGTGAGAGTGAGGGCCGCATTTGAGATAGGCAGGCGGGGCTGGAAAGGAACGGGACCCCAAGCACCGAAAAATTATTTAACTTTAAAACTTTGGTTTTAATAAGGAAATTGTTCAACGAAGGTGAAATAAAGTTCGCCAACTTTTACAAAAGATCAATTTTTGCCGTGATGATCTTAAAATTTGAAGTTATCAGAAACCTCACCTCACTAAATATAATTGAAATATTTCAAATTTTTGTAGCTCCAGCCCCTGCCATCTCGATTTTTCAGGGCCTGAGTGTAGAAGCAAATGTTTAGAACATTTTATTTTCTGTGATTGTTTACGATGGCTAGCATATTGTTTAGACAGCCCGCCCGAGACGATGTCGATCGATGAAATGTAAAAGCTTGATGCATGATACAACATACTAAACTGTCAGGAACAGAAAATAAGTAAACGAAATTAAGATATTGCTGAAAAAATCTTTTCTGATATTATAAAATAATTAAAATTCAAATGAAAAGTTTAAAAGATATAACAAAATTAAGATATTGCTAAACGAATCTTTTCTGATATTATAGGATAATTAAAACTCGAATGAGAAGTTTAAAAGACATAAAATTAACAAGCACCACTACGTACTATCCCTCCATTCATCCATCCTTCCTTGCTTTTGTCCATCTATCCATCCAACTATCCATCCATCAATCCATCCAACTATCCATCAATCCATCCATCCATCCAACCTACATTTATCGTTGATGAATGAGGAAGCACACCTCTGATATCTGAGAGGACACATCATGAGGTTCGTAGGCTCGTCGCACCGGTGGCATCTGTAGCAAGCTATTGATCCAACTTCGCTAAAACTAAACCCAACTAAAACAAATATAACGCTGTAAAATTTGTCTTCCAACAGCATTTCATGTAATACTTTCGTTTCAAGTACTATCTACACACACACACACATACACACACAAATTCAAACACACACACATGCACATATATTCATTTCATTTTTATATTTATTTATTTTTCTGTATTTTCAAATGGCCGGCAGAGCTAGAGCTAGGTTACCATAGCTTCCTGAAAAAACAGAATTCAATTTAAAGTTTATTGTCATGACGTAATGAGGAAAAAAATATATCGACAGAGAAACACACACACACATACATACATGCATACATACATACATACACAGATTAATACAAACATATACACATGTGTAGTGTAGGCAGGCACACATATTTTTATTTTTGCTGTATTACTGTAGAGTTTGCTTTGAAAATATTTATTATTTTACTGTTATATACACACACATTCGCGCGCACACACACAAACAAACACACACAAACACACACATTTAACCCAATCAAATTTTCAAATGTATTGAGATGTTATAGACTGAAGTACTACTGCTGAAGCAGCTGGTTATTATTTATTTTTACAGGCTAATTGATTTTTTTGCATGTACAATTTTCCAGCAAATATTTCAGCAATGAAAAGTAATAACAACATAACTACTATTACTACTACTAATACTGCTACTACTACTACTACTACTACAACAACTACTACTACTACTAATACTACAACAACAACTACTACTACTGCTACTGCTGCTGCTGCTACTAGCAACAACAGTAATAACAATAACGTTAATAATAATAATAATAATAATAATAATAATAATAATAATAATAATGGGAACATCATTTTATTTTCATCCTAAATCACACGTTAAAAAGAATTGTTAATGAATTAAAATTTAATAATAACAATAATAATAATACCAGCAACAGCGATTATTATTATTATTATCTTTATTATTATTATTGTTTCGCTGGCAAGCATTGAACAAAATTTTTATGACGCCGGCTTTGCCATTCGTTAATCCATCAGTAATGCATGAAGTGGAAATACGTGTAAATATAAGATAGGTAAGTTTATGATGTTGTTGTTGTTGTCGTTGTTGTTAATGTTGCTGTTGATGTTGTTGCTGTCGTTGTTGTTAATGTTGTTGTTGTTGTTGTCGTTAATGTTGTTGTTGATGATGTTGTTGATGTTGTTGTTGATGTTGTTGTTGATGTTGTTGTTGATGATGTTGTTGATGTTGTTGTTGATGTTGTTGTTGATGATGTTGTTGATGTTGTTGTTGATGATGTTGTTGATGTTGTTGTTGATGTTGTTGTTGATGTTGTTGTTGATGATGTTGTTGATGTTGTTGTTGATGTTGTTGTGGTTGTTGTCGTCGTCGTTGTTGTTCTCTCCCGTCTCATTGATTTTTAAACGAAAAATTTCAGACATTGTATTTATGTATTGCAATTAATTTGGTTTTGTGTATGTATGTATGTATGTATGTGATGTGATGTGATGTGATGTTATTGTGTGTGTGTGTAATAATAATGAATAATGAAACATGAAGCAATGTCTGTTTTATGTAGCGTATAGAGATAGGGGTGTTATTTAACGCTAAGAAAATTTAGCCTTTTACTTATAAACAATAAGTAATGACATCAGCAAGAAGAAATAATAAAAACAAATAATAATATAATAACAATTAATAACAATTAATAATAGTAATAATAATAACGATAATAATAATAATGTAAATTTTAATTCATTCAACTCAGTTGAACCACAAGGATTTACACTCGAATTATTCATTTAATATCGCTTGGCAGTTGTTAAACATTCTTCACTCTCGTAAGCCCCCTTCTAATCGTTTTAAAATGTAAAAATGTCCTCCTCACATTCGCGGATTTGGGTCTATCAATAGGGATTTTTTAAATCGATTTTATTTCAGGGTTAGTTTTTTCGGGGGAGTTTTCAGTAAAAAAATATTCGGTGAAATAATTCTGATGGAATTTTTGGCTAAGTTTCAATGCTTTATCTACAATAATGTAGTTACTAAAGGTTTATAATTGTATATTTATGGGTATACACTATATATATATATATATATATATATGTGTGTGTGTGTTTGTTTGTGTGTGTATTAACAACAATACATGTAAAATAAACGTACATTTATGAGTATACACGCATATAATCCTCAACTCTAAGTCTAAATCAGCGTTTCTCAGCCTTTTGAGATTCAAGGACCGACCACTTAAAAAATAATGTTTGTCTCAGTCGCGGACCACTACTGAAAATTTTGGTAATCGCGCACTTGAAATTTATATATATATATATATATATATATATATATATAATTATTATTTCATATGATGACGTAACAGCCACACATAGTTCTTTTAGTTTAACTGTTAGACTTAGAGAACTACAGTTACCACTCTATTGACTATAGGTGTATTAAAATTGTTATTTAAAAGTATTTATTATACATTTTAATAAATGTTTTAACTTCAAATTAAAGAGTATAATGTTCGTTTTACGTTGATGTTTGCATAGAGCGTATTTCACGGCGTATCTGGCGTATCAGGCAAATTTTTATGTTAAATTTGAAACAAATTGTAGCCTACTTGAGCCTAGTTGAGCTTATCCAAACGAGGCGTAATGCTCGAAAGACTCAATCGGAGTTCATGTTTTTCATTTTTTGTTTAAAAAAAAACTTGCGTTTTACACTTTGCTCGTGTAACACCAGGCAAATGTCCGCGGACCACACGTTTAGAGCCGCTGGGTTAGGGTTAGTTTTAGGTTAGGGTTACTTTACTATATTCTCTCACGGTAATGTGAGAGAATATAGTACAGTCGAGATAACTTTTCCTTACCGAAATTTTGTCTGGTAAGGCGTTTACAGTCTCGGAACTACCCTATAGGCGTTTAAAGAATATAGGCCATTGCAAGTTATAATTTATACAATGTGAGATGAAGTCTTAAGTACTGAAACACACACGGATGTTGATTAATTAGAGTTTGGTCTATGCGTCGTTTTAATAACTTCTCTTTTAGTGTTTTATTTTTTGCTGCTAGTGAGTAGCGAGTTGATTATTTAAAGAGAGTTGAAAAATATTAATCGCTATTAATGATAATATAAAAATGTAAGGAGATAACGAATTAATTTCAGTTAATGATAGAGAATAATAATGATGGTTCCGTCGAAGTATTTGCTCCCACTCATCGTCATCATACTGTTTGCATTGTTTTTCTTCACGCTCTACAACTACCAAGTCGGTTGAGAGATTTGTTTGGTCGTTTTAAAACATTTTTTTATATAATTTAACTAATTATTAATATTTTTTGTATATTAAATTCAAACTAAAATGTTCCTGAAACATATAAAAATATATAAAAAATAATTATGTCACATTATAACATGGTGATATTATATTAATATTATTATAGGCTGACAAATCGTCTACACCTTTGAGTTTATTCAACTTGGGGAAACAACAACAACAAGTGGACGATCCATTGAAAAAAGATGATGATCTCAATCTGGAAGAATTGGACCTAAACACTTTAAAGTTTTTACTCCACGGGTTGGTAATTTAATCAGGGAGGTATCGGGACGACCGGGCCCTCCCCCTGCCCCACTACTCTCGGTGCGCGCCATCGAATTTAAATGAAACATTTAATTTTCACGGTGTAGCTTTTTACGGATGGTCTCAGATTTGGGATCATGTGGCTGACAACACCTTCTTTTTGCTTATCAAGTTCAATTTTGGGTCGATTTTACATATAAACGGTTTTTTTCTGTATGTGTATGTAGTGCATGTGATGATGTAACCTTTCTTAAACATGTATATCAGTTGTAACGTGCTTCATTTCTTCAATAGTGCTAAACTAATTGAATTTAATTTAACTAATTATTTGAATTTACTATTTTAATTAATATTTATTAGTTTAATGATAAGACTAAAACGTCTTTAAATAAGTATTGTGTGTGTTTTTTTTTTCTTTTTAACTTTAGGATTCTGACCGAAAAAAGAAATCTCTGCAAGAACTACACCATACACGGTAGGACGAGTAAGGATGGAGGCTACGATGTTTGCTTGGCTGGAAAGTTGAGACCTGAGCCTAACTCATGCACTGTCATGTCGTTCGGGTGGGTGAGTGGATGAATGAATGAATGGATGGATGGATGGATGGATGTATGGATGGATGAATGAATGAATGAATGAATGAGTGAGTGAGTGAGTGAGTGAGTGAATGAATGAATGAATGAATGAATGAATGAATGAATGAATGAATGAATGAATGAATGAATGAATGAATGAATGAATGAATGAATGAATGAATGAATGAATGAATGAATGAATGAATGAATGAATGAATGAATGAATGAATGAATGAATGAATGAATGAATGAATGAATGAATGAATGAATGAATGAATGAATGAATGAATGAATGAATGAATGAATGAATGAATGGATGAATGAATGAATGAATGAATGAATGAATGAATGAATGAATGAATGAATGAATGAATGAATGAATGAATGAATGAATCCACGCACAACACAGCACATCCATATCTCACCACACACGTATATGCGTCGTTTGACATTTTGAATATTTGAGGAATAACAATTTCAAACATTTCAAACACTTCTGTCAAATTTTCGTGAAATTTTTCATAAAAATATTCCTTCTAAATAGCATCAACAATGAATGGTCATTTGACGAGGCCTTAGCTAATTACAGCTGCTATGTGCATTCCTATGATCCAAGGTTTGCCCCTTATCTAGGTTGACATTTCTTTTTACAATTTTTATATTCAACGTTCTCAAATTTGTCAGCGACATTAAACACACCAACCAACCGACCAACCAACTAACTCTTTCCAATTAATTAACCAACCTACCAACCAATTAATCAATCATCCAACTAACTAACTCTCCAACCAACCTACTAACCAATCAACCAACCATCCAACTAACTCTCCAACCAATCAACCAACCAATCAACACACCAACTAACCAATCAACCAACCAACCATTCAACTAACTCTCCAACCAATCAACCAACCAATCAACCAACCAATCAACCAACCAATCAACACATCAACTAATCAACCAACCAACTATTCAACTAACTCTCCAACCAATCAACCAACCAATCAACACACCAACCAACCATCCAACTAACTCTCCAACCAATCAACCAACCAAACAACCAATCAGCACACCAACCAACCATCCAACTAACTCTCCAACCAATCAACAAATCAACCAATCGACCGCCCAACCCTGCAAAGTATGAACATGAAAGACCACATGCACACGAAGAGTATACAATTTCACAACGTTGGCATTGGCAAGAGGAATGAAATAAACGCTCTTGGCTGGAGGATGAAGAATTTGAAAACTGTCATTCAAGAAGCTGGCCTGTCTAATGTATGATATTTTTATTTGAATAAATAAATAAATAAATAAGTAAATAAATAAATAAATAAGTAAATAAATAAATAAATAAATATTCAACAAATGTTTAAATTATTGCAAAAAGTTTAGTCGTAAACAAAATTTTTAAGATTAAAAAAAATTAAAATAAAAAGTTTGGTCATCAATCATTGTGAGACTAGTGAGAAAAGTTAAAATTTTTTTTTACACAAAAGGGTTTAAATTATAAAAAATTTAAATCACAATGTATGGGGCGGGGTTAGACGCTTATCCACACACACACGCGCGCACACATACCCACACAAACACACAAATAAACACACATAAACAAACGCAAACACACACACACAAACAAACACACACGAAACAGAAAGTTATCGACGTGATAAAATGCGATGCAGAGGGCGCAGAATGGCCATTCTTGGAAGACGTTCTCGAAAATGATGTCAACGTTAAGCAGATCATTCTAGAAATTCACTCCCCTAAGAAACTCCCAAGCCCAGTGACGAAAGATGATCTGTTATACGTTATAAAACTGTTTCTAGCCTTGAAAAAACGAGGCTTCGTAATAGGACATTCATATCATAAGTATATCTGCTGTGCAGCCTTTTCGGGCATGTTCCCGCCAGAAATTCCTGAAAAATGTTGTCATGAGGTGTATCTTTATAACACCAAATATCTCGATTGATTTTGAAAGTATGATTTTTTTTGACTGCTTTCGAACGTACTATTATATACGAATGACTTGTCAGTTCTCTACCATGTTAAATCATTAAGCTCTATTGTTCTACGTTTGTCTGATAGATCATAAATTAATAAGAATACACGCAACTTTCGATTCTTTTCATCTTTATTGTATGCTTGAAATCAATATGAGAACGAACAGCAAGATGATTCAAATTTGTGTAATGCAAATACTACCAATACTAAATATTACATCGGTCCTCTCCTTTCTCTTCACTTTTTTCCTCCTCATAGCCTCCAAGCTATTCTATACTAACTAGTCTTAAGTTATGTTATTTATTAACTTATAAGATATAAAATATATGTCATAAGTGTACGTTTAACTTATAACTAGTAGGATCTATTGTGCGTGTGATGTGTGTCAAAATATAATGATGGCGATTTCTGATTTTGAAGACAAGGTTTTTCCACGAGTGATTTTTATGTTTTTAGTGTTTGTTTTATTTTTCTTCATAGTTTTGCTGAGATGATGTTTCATCTTTTTGTTCGTTTGGTTATTTTCGCCAATAAAATTTCATTTGGGGAATTGTATTTTTTTAAAATTATTAAATAGCAACATGTATTTCTTTAGTTTTTGTTTATAAAATGATATAGAATTGAATTTAAAATTGACAAAATCATCAAACAGTAAACGTTAATGTTCCCAGAGACAACTCAGCCATCCCTCGAACAGTTTTTATAACCAAAAATTGATTTTTTTTTGTGTGACAAATATTTAATTATTTGTTAGAAAACTCATCCTATCCAAAACCATTTAATTCTTTCGTTACTTTGTTTCTAACAATTTGACAAACCATCTGCCATCTTACTATAATATATTTGAATGTTAATTTTACATTAATCTTTATTGAAGAGATGTTTTTCTAATATAGCAACTTGGTCATGATGCTTAACTATGTTAACGAACTTAATTAATTTTGTTTGTTTGTTGAAGAAAAAAAATCTGGGATCATATTAATTGATTTATTTTTAAAAAAATTTACCTTCAAAAACATTTTAATTGAATAGATTGAATCAAAACGTGTGTTGCGTGTATGTATGTATGTGTGTGTGTGTGTGTGTGTGTGTGTGTGTGTGTGTGTGTGTGTATCTGTGGTGTGTGTGTCTCTTGTGGTGTGTTTGCAATATCAATATTAACATAACAGCTGATGTTTTCCCTTTCGATATTTTCGATTAAACTCAGCAGCAGTTTTAAACACGTGTTGCTGAAGTTTACACACACACACACGCAAACAAACACACACAGACACACTTAAACAAACACACACAAACACCCAGACAAACACACACACACACAGACAAACATACACACAAACAGTAACTGCTCAGCGTGATATCGATCGGTGGAAAAGAGAGCAAGGACAGAAGGCCATTAAAAATTAATCCTACATTAAACACTCTATAATTTTCAGCAACCAAGAAATATGAATTCAATGTGAATTAAACGTTTAAACTTTAAATAAATAAATATATATATATTATATTTTTATTATATAAATATATTATATATATTATATTATAATATAATATATATAAACAGTAAGAACAAACAACATCTCTTAAAATCAATAAAATAACAGCGTGATTCTTTTAACAAATATGTATGTATGTATGTATGTATGTATGTATGTATGTATGTATGTATGTATGTATGTGTGTGTGTGTGTGTGCGCGCTTGCGCGTCTGTGTGCGTGTGAGTAAATGTGTGTGCACATACGTGTGTGTGTGCAAATATCGAAAATTAATTTATATCAAAGGTTGACTACCTAGTAAGAATAAATGTAACAAACATATCACATAACATAGTTACACATACACATACAAAGAAAAACACAGTTACACATACACATACAAAGAAAAACACATTTACACATACACACACATACAAATAAAAACCCTTCAAAAACATGAAGTATGCATTCTAGATAATCTGAAAAAAGACACTTTCAACTAAAATATCTCGTATTACAAAAAAAAACACAATTACACATACATATACAAAGAAAAACACAGTTACACATAAATATACAAAGAAAAAAACACAGTTACACATAAATATACAAAAAAAACACAGTTACACATACATATACAAAGAAAAAAAACACAGTTACACATACATATACAAAGAAAAAAAACACAGTTACACATACATATACAAAGAAAAATCCCAGTTACACATACATATACAAAGAAGAAAAAAACAAATCTGAAATCAAAATTCAACTCGAATATTTCGTGTTATAAAGGTAAACTTCGTGGCAGCATTTCTCGCTAATTTCTTGAGGGAACATGGGGGCGAAAATTTCACAGCACCATGTCTCGTGGTAGGAGTGATCCACAACAAAGCCGCTTTCTTGCAATTTCATGAAGAGTCGAATCATGTACATCAAGTCTTTCTTACTGACTGTTTGCGGGTTTATTTTAGGCGAATGTACCTCTAGGATGATCTGTTTGACTTCGAAAAGGTTCTCAATTGTGTCCTCTAAAAAAGCCCATTCGGCACCTTCAGCGTCGCACTTAATGACATCAATGACTTCCTAGCAAGTTATATTTTCATTTTTGTTTGTTACAATAACATCATAATTAGCAATAATTAATCCGTAATTAATCATAATTAGCACAATTAATTAGTGCATACATACATTGGTTTAATTAGTCGTACTAAATATTATCACAGAACCATGATTAAGTTACAATTAATTACAATTAGTTATAATAAATGATATTAGTAATTGTAACTTAATCACAATTAGTTATAATAAATGATATTAGTAAAGTTATAAATGGCCATGATTAACTCTGACAAATTCATAATTAATCTAAATTGATCTATAATTAATCATAATTATCTATAATTTATTATAATTTACTTAACCTACATTTGACCAATTGGCTTGTTGGATGGCCGACTTAATGTTCGCCATCGCCCAGTGGTCTTTGTTATTGCTCGCATCAACGTTCAGCTTTAATTACACTAATAAAAATAAGATAACTACTACTGCTACTGCTACTACTGCTACTGCTACTACTACTACTACTACTACTACTACTACTACTACTACTACTACTACTACTACTACTGCTTCTACTACTACTATTACTACTACCTTTCCTAGTCCCATATTGTGGAATTGAACATTAGCGGAATGCATGTGGTCCTTCAGGCCCATGCTATTATTATTATTATTGTTATTTTTATTATTATTATTATTGTTATTATTATTTCTATTATCATCGTTACTGTGAGTATTATTGAAAATATTTACCAGGCGCTTGCATTTTAAAAGATGAGTGTGATGATGATGATGGTTGTGATGATGATGAAGGTGGTGATGATGATGATGATGACGGTGATGATGATAATGATGCTGACCTTGGGTCATATGAGTGGACAAAGCATCCGTAACCTGCGATCGACTCATCAAATGACCATTCGTTGTTTATTCTGTGAGGACAAAAAATTTTTTATTTGAAAAAAAAGTCCCAAATTGAAATTATTATTATTATCATTATTTATATTATTATTATTACTATTATTATTAATTATAACTATTTATTAATGGATTCATTTTTTTATGAAAGATTGAAGGAGTGAGTGAGTGAGTGAGTGAGAAAAAAGTTAACAACCGAATGGCAATATGAAAAATCGATCGAATGCGTGAGTGAGTTGTTGAATAAGCTAACTGACGAATGAATGAATGAATGAATGAATGAATGAATGAATGAATGAATGAATGAATGAATGAATGAATGAATGAATGAATGAATGAATGAATGAATGAATGAATGAATGAATGAATGAATGAATGAATGAATGAATGAATGAATGAATGAATGAATGAATGAATGAATGAATGAATGAATGAATGAATGAATGAATGAATGATAAATAAAGGAAGGAGGGAAAGAAGAAATTAACAAATTAATAAATTAACAAATAAAATAATTGAATGAGTGATTACAAAATTTACAAACTACAAATGAACATACATAAAAAAGAATGAAACAATCATACAAACAAACAAACATACATACATAAATACAAACAAACAAACAAACATACATACATACAAACAAACATACATACATACATACAAACAAACAAACAATTGAGCACCCACCCAAATGACATGACCTTGCATGACGACGAATTCGGTTTCAAACCCCCATCCAGGCAAACATCGTAGCCACCATCTCGTGTTTTTTTACCAAATTTTTTGTGATGTTTGCAAATTTTTTTCTCCGCTACTATGATTCTGTAGAATTTATGTTAAGAAAACATATTTTGTCCTTCTGTTTGTTTGTCATTCATTCATTTGTTCATATATTTGATCGTTTGTTTGTTCACTTGTTCATTTATT